AATCCTCAAAATTAGTTGGTACTGTTTTTTGCCACAGAAAATGTTTTTATACAACAAATATCGTGTGCCAACTTGCTAACTAGTTAAACAAGTCTGAGTGGAGTACATTTAACATGTTAAAAACACAGAAATCATCCCAACCACATGAGGTGAAAGTTTGTTTTTTCTGGTGTGAAGGGTGTAAAGAATGAATAATGACGCCCCCTGCTGGTTCTCGGAGGTAACCATTTAGCTCTCACAGGAATCATAGGTAAACATTTGACTTATGCTAAAATAAGAACGCTGATAACTCAGGAATTTCGATGAAGGTGTTTATTTTGAAAGACAGCTTGATCTTAAGATTTTTGTGAGTATGCTGTATTTTTAAGTGAAGAGTAGAAGTGAGAAAGATTTGTCAGTTGTCCTCATAGTCTAAGATAAACTAGAAGAAGTAAAATGTGGAAGAAATTGGTTACTGGCAGAAGGCCCTGCTGCCTACAGAGAGGCGTGGAGATTGTGGCAAGACCAGGGTGTGTAATGGGAAGCATTCGGGGACGTAGAAGAGCAAGGACTCCTGGCTCACAGTTGATAGTGTTTAGCTATATCTTTCCCATCTTCTTTTCTCCATGACTTTGGACAGGGTTGGCCACTTTTCCTTCTTGAAACTCTCCTCACGCATTTTTGAGGAAATAATGATTTTGGCCCCCTTCCTAATTTCAGCTCAATATTCTTTCTTACCTTTTTGATATCTTTGAAGAATTAATTCTTTTATCTTCTTCCTTTTCATTCTTTGAAGTTTACTCCATGCTTAACTTTTATCCAATCTAACTCCTCTTCCCTTTGTTCCTCGCAGTAAACATGCATTGCTCTGTGACAGTAGGCTCAGAGAAGGTCTCTGCTCTTGCTGAGCTAACAGTTGGTGATAAAGACTAAGAAAACAGCCCAGGGGCTGGGGATTTAGCCTAGTGGTGCCGCCACTTGTCTTGCGAGCTCAAGGACCTGAGTTCAACTCCTGGCACCAAAAAAAAGCTAAACACAGCAGATCTGATGATGGGCATTTCTAGGAACACCAGCATAAGAGCCTCATGTACCCACCCTGCTTACAAAGGCATCCAGGGACTGCACAGGAGCCCCACAGAGACAGCAAGATAGGGCCAACGTAGGTGGACACAGCTATATTGGCCAAAGAAATAAATTGAGTAGGTATATTTAAAAAATGTGTTGAGTGTAATGAAAGCCAGGTTTCCTGCTTTTGGATATTTACAAACCTAGAAAAGAAGAAGGCTAAAAATGACTCCAAAGTGTCAGATTTGAATTGGAGATGTTGACTCTGTAGTGTGTAGATATACCATGCACATCCGCAGATCAGAGTTCATCATAGATCTGTACAAGTGTGCACATTCGTGTGTGATGTGTGTGCCATGCTCACTGCTTACTAGAGGCTCTCCATGCCCAAGTGCTGTCCTCCACTAGAGGGATCAAGGGCCTCTGGAGAAAGAGTGCCTCCAGGGCTGGGCCAGAAAAAGTATGAGTGAACCTAGGGCATTTTATGCCAGAAGAAATTAAGAAAAATGTTCCAGAAATGCAGAGGGTGTGTCAGAAAGACCCAGAGCTAGCTTGAAGGTCTTCCCAGGCCTGGGATCATGCAAACACTGAAATAAATGATAATATCAATAGATTACAACCCACAGTGGAACTCAAGAGCAAGTGAGAAAGTAAAGGGGCCGTTGCTGGTGGGTGGGTAAAGGATTGGTAAGACCATGCTGTAAACGGTCTCAATTGGTTGAGAAGATAAAAGTAACCAGTGACAGAGAAAGAGTGGCTTTCCGCGTAGAAACCCGGCAGACGCCAGCAAGTGGGCGGCCAAAGCTGAGGGCGGCGGGGTGGGTCGGCCCTGCGCATTCGGGTGGCACCTTGAGGAGAGCACCTGACCTTTCCGGGGTGCTCCGCTGGGAAACTACGAGCTGCGCCAAGGCAGGAGGAAACACCGAAGAGTCACCCTACAGAATACAGGGCGCCTTTGCTTCAGAACTGCCGAAGACACAATAAGGAAGAGAGACATAGACAGGAACGCTAAGAACTGTTCCTGCTTAGAGAGCAAGAACAGCCCTGAGGGTGAACTGCAGCAGTCTCCATGTGGGGAGAAACGGCGAAACTACGGCAGGTCTGTGGCTTGGAGGGCAGTGTGAGGCCAGTGTGGTCTGCAAACCTGAAATGCGGGGTGGCGTTGTGCAGAGCTCGCCTGCCCAGGGAGCCGTCTGTGCTGCGCGGTTCCAACAGGGAAGGCTCTGTGCTGAGGCCCTGGTGGTTCCGACGCGTGATACTAGGACTGGCGGGGAGAGGCCGGGGGAGGCAGAGGCCGTGGGGCGAATGCACCTTTGACGGCGGGGAGTGTGGGTCCAGGCCGAGCAGAAGTCTTTGCGCTGCTCATGCATTTCTTCCTGTAGGCTTGGAAATTAAGTTTTTAAAGGCAAACAGACACTTACGGAGGGCCGGGGATGCAGGGTAGTCGTGTTGGCGGTGACCCCTGAATGGAGATCTGACGGTTACCAGTGGGGGAGCCCCTGGGAGAGGGGACCCAAGAACCACGCGCCGGGCGCACTGGTGAGCAGCACACCTGAGAGCCGCAGGGTCCCGCTGGGCTGCAGCGCCCCAGGAGCCCTGGCTCAGCACACGCGAGGTCTTCCAATCCCTGCCCCTGCCCCCAAAAATTATAAAATTGGTCTGAGGTTGTACTGATTGCAGCGTCCAAATGGTAACAAGAAAGCTGTTCAGGGTCAGGGATTTAGTTCAGTGGTTCCGCCGCCTGCCTCGCAAGCGCAAGGTACTGAGTTCGATCACAGGTACCAAAAAAAAAAAAGGAAAGCCATTCTGATCTGGGGTTCCTGGGCTTAATGTTAAGCCTCTGCTGAATGGTTTCACGAACTAGGTGAGGTTTCCCCGCTTTAATCAGTGGGGCCTGAGGCCCGGCAGGAGTGACCACCAGTTCTCGGGGCTCGACGGTGTGCCCAAGCTCACAGCGCGGCCAGGCCGGATCGCTGTCACCGCACCCGCTCGGCCCAGTGCTCCTCACACACGTGGTGCGTCCCGGGACGCTGGCTGTGTCCCGGCAGAACCCAAGCCACAGCCATGTCCGCCTTGTTCATTCTGCCTCCCTTTGTCCTCACGGTGGCCAAGTTGTGTGAACTTGACTGATACATCTTTCAAATAGTTTCTTAGAAAAAATGTAACAAAAAAATTCGTTGATCTCTGGGGCATCAAAAGAGTGAAATATTCTGTAAAAAATGGCTCATTTGTAAGAGGCAAAGTCAGTTATTTCAGTACCCGAAGCAAATTATAGTTCTGAGGAAGAAATGGCATACGTCTGTCTAGACTGTTATTCTCCCAAAGTGCTTACTTTACGTGCCACAAAATTGGGCAAACTGTAGAATCTTTTTAGAACCCAAGAACTTAATATTCAGTATATGGAACTATAAAATGTATAAATTAATGTGAAATATAAAACTCTTGAAAAACACTCAAATACATTATTTTATAGGAATTTTTAAAGTTTGAAAGCACTTACTTAAGATTAGTGATACTGATTTTTATTTTGTTTTACTGAATTGCTAGGCACTTGGAGGTGTACCAGGAAGCCAGCCATTACTCCCCAGCGGCATGGACCCCACACGACAACAAGGTGACTGAAGAAGGAGTGAAATCCTGGAACACCACAGAGGGGACGCCTTTATTTCTTCAGGAAAATTTGATTTGTAAAATCTTCCATAATTTTACCAGTTGTGTTTTTGAAAGCAATAGGGGTAAATATTTTCAGCCAACTCCTGGTTCTTCATAGTTCAGATAGTTGGTGATAATGTAAAAGCCAAATACATCGTTGTCTAAAACTTCATATTTTGACTAGTGACTGCTAGAACTTTTTAGATGACTTCAAACAAGTAGGAACCTACCTGATTATCTCACTTAGGGTTTCCTCTGCCTGTCTTAGTAGAGAGTAAGGTCAGGTGATGGGACCAGGGACCCATCCTCAGCTGGTGGACAGGTGCTGTCCTGGCTCCATGAGAGAGCAGGGGGCCACCACAGCCAGGAGGGAGAAAGGTCATCCAGACCTCCGTGAGAGCAGCAGGGTGGTGGTGGGAGGTGGGAAGGGGCCACAGGAGCCAGGGTCAGGGGCGGCCGTCACCAGGATACCAGTACCTGAGGTCACACCTTGCAGGGGTGGGGGGGTGGGGCTGACTCCAGCTTAGCCTCAAAGCAGGGCTTTGCTGACACCCTCATCCCCTTTCAGGACATCCGAACATGGCCGGGCCTATGCAGAGAATGACTCCCCCCCGAGGAATGGTGCCCTTGGGGCCGCAGGTAAGTGATCAGTGTGTTGCCCAGGCTGGCATCCTGCATCCCATGGATGCACATGGGTTGTTGGTGCATTTTTAGTGTATGCTGTCATCAGCCACACTTGCTGGGGTGCAGCTCAGTGGCCCGGCATGTGTTCGCTGGGTGTTAGGCCCAGGGTCCAATCCCAGGCTCGCCCACGCGCGTGCACACACACACACACACGCACACACACACACATCCTGACATGCATCCTCGTTAGGACCCTGAGGATAGAATATTTGTGACATTTGCAAATTACTGCAACAACAAACTGTATTTTAACAACTTGCTATCATATGCACTTTAGTTTATTTGGAAAAACATAATGTATAGAAATATAGTAATTAGTATAACAAGATAACTTAAACTTTTGTGAGCTATGTTAAGGAAGTGGTTAAGTTAAATAAAACTCAGTTAATTGAAAATATTAAGTAGAATAAACAAAATATATTTCTATAAGTCTTTTAAAGGATGCTATTGAAAATTTATTTATACAACCATATATCTTTATAAAATAGAAAAATAATAGAGAACCATTTCAAACTAAAGGTTAAAAGTTTCTTACTAAACAAGGATAATACTGCTGCCATACTACCAGATGTAATCCAACTTTTACTATCAGGATTTCCCAAAAGAGTAGAATGAGGCTAACTGCGTCATAACTCCTGGTGATATTTTAAGTGTGCTATTCCAGGATGTCATTTATTTAGCTAAAAACATCGTTTTGTCTCAGAAAAATTTCTCAAGGGAAGAATTGATTTTATCATGTTTAACTTTAAAGAAAACTAATCCAAAATCCAGAATTGTAAATGTTTACCTCCGGGGTCAGAAGTTGGCATGTCCTAAAGCTGGCAGTAATAGGTACTGCGAGTGATAGTTTTGGTAATTTTCATTTTCCTACTTTTAAAGAATTAAATTGTGTTTTTATTGTATCAGTGGAGTCAAAGACTCCAGCACTCTAATGATGTGACGTAGGCCAAGACTTCCTACCCAGCATAGAGTAATGTAACCAGCTAGACACACGAGGCTCACATACCTAGTTTCTCAGAGACTCCATGTCACATGAAAAGCCCACTCTAAATACACGCAACTGCCCCGCACTGCTCTCCCCTATGTATTTCCTTGAGATCTTATAAAACTCCCATTTAAATATCTAAAAATGTTCCCTGTTTCTATCCATAATAGGAAGGATGGTTTGTGTTAACCAACTATCACTGGGCTATTAATAGCAGTTGGGATTTACAAGATCTGCAGGATATTTCATTGACTAATGGACTTTCAGTCTTTAGTAAACTCTGCCACCACTAACATGGCTGTGCAGAATTTAAAGGTTTTTTCCCCAAAAGATTGTCTTAATAGGTCCATTTTAAATACGCATAAAAACTTTAGCCTGTAACTTAATTATCATGCTTCATTCAGCTCACTTGTTTTTTTTTTTTTAGCTCTTTAAGCTTTTGTTATTCCCAAAATATTACTAGTATTAGTTCTTCATACTTCAAAACTTAGAGCCTGTTTTATGGGTCATTTTTGCAGTGTTAAAAGAGATAAACAATGTTTGTGTAATCTATGTGAACATTTAAATCTCACTTGAAAATGGAGAAGTAGAAAGCATGCTATCATTTATGCTTTCTATCTACAGATCTGTTATAAATAAATAAGAGCAGGTAATAAAAACCTATTTCTGTTCATTAATCTCTAACTGATGTTTAATAACTAAGTTTATTGTGTGTGAATATTTTCTTTACATTTTCAAACTCAAAGGGAATAGTTTTATTTCTTCCTTTTAGATTGGCAGTACCCTTGCTATCTATTTTGACATAATATGTAAAACATAAAGTATGAATTGGTATGAATTCATCTCAGACCAGAAATATCGTTAATACATTTTTAAACTCACCGTATGCAAAGTAACAGGTGCTAAAGAAAGTTCCTTATACGTAGGACACATAATGCTTCAGTGAAGCCAGGAGCCACATTCATGGACCTTGTACCTTGTACACACTTCGTGACACTGCCACCGTGCATTCCTGCATGGTAAACTGTGAGAAAGGTTAGCTGTGCGTGCTGGGCCCGGTCACTGTGCCTGCCCCGCTCTGCTGCAGAGAGCCCCTGGGATGCTGTCTCCAGCTTTAGCACAAACACGGCATGCACTTCTTTTTTCATAGGCACTGCTTCTAGAAGTTTTTTTTCCTTTCTGCTTAGAATCAGTGTAGTGGAGGGAAACAGTAGTTATTTAATGGAACCACTGAAGCCCTAAACAAAGAAATGTGTGTGACTCTTGGGTCACACTAATTCAGGCAAAGTGCGCACGTAGAGCGCGGCAGATGTGTGATTAGCACTTACCGCATAAACGAAGAAGTCAAAGTCTGCCCCTCATCCGGCAGGTATCTCCTATCCCCTCATCTGTGTGGAACTAAGTATGGTAACAGAACATGGCTTTAAATCGGTATCAATATCCTCTCAACTGAAAAGCAAAATAATCTGTATAATCAAGAAAAAGATCTAATAACATATTTACAGTCATTTTCCCACTTGCTTTTGTAATAAGATTCACTTAGCTGACTCAAGTTTGTAAGCTCAGCAGGGTGTCAGGCGATTTACAGAAAAATTCACTAAAAGTACCTACTTCTAGTTCCGCCAGAAACCTGAAAGATAAAGAAGGCTGATATGTCTGTCATGCACATGAACCGATTTCCCTGATAAACGTGATCATATGCCCTCCAAACGTGGACTAATGAGAATTAGAATTAAAACGTTACACACAAGTAGGGTTTCCAGGTCAGATAGTCGGCTGAGGAAGAGACGGGGAAACGGTGGAACACATGATAGGCTCTCATGTTTTCTGTAAACTCATTCTACACAGTAAACCGATTCTGTGTTTTCAAGTTTAACGCGGTGTTAGAATTCAGCTCAGTGCAGGAAAAACTTCCTAGGAGTTACACCGTCCAATCATGGAAGGCGTTTTATAAACCTTCTCAGCACAGCCCAAACAGCCGTTCTGACAGGAACACCGCATTGGAAAAGAGATTAGACCAGATGGAATTGCATAGTTGCCATCAGCTTTGAAATTCAGTGATTCTAAATTAGCTCTTCCCATTCTGTCTTTGTTGATACCACTTGGAAAGCAGTTGTTATTCTTTCTTTTCCCCCTAATTTCTTTTTGCTTTAGATGATTCATAAAATGAAAATATTTTCTCAATCTATCAAATATGTACTGTTTTGAACAATCTCTTACTTGCTATGACAATTCAGTCTAATTGGGCAGTCATTTATTGAAGGCTCACTGTGTGCCAAACATTGTACTTGAGCACTAAGTAAATAAAGGTGAATAAAATCAGTGCTCTGTTGTCCGGGTACTTACTTCTTGGTGGGACACCCAGACCCATCTAAATTATCATATAATAGGGAAAGTCTAGAAAGGAAATGTACATGCTTTCTAAGCAATGGCCAAGGAGTCAATACATAAAAAAGCAAGTAATTCTATTAGTATTGAGGACTCCCTGGAAGCCAACACGAAGAGGACTCATTTAAGTTGTATTAGCAATGGTAAGGAAGACTTAGCAGCTACAGTTTTAACCAAAAGGACCATGTTTTTAACACATCAAGCAGTATGATGGGTGCTTTATATTCTTTCCTTCTATCTGGAGGATAATAGCATTACGTTACAAATAAGGAAGCTAAAACTGGGTGGTCACTGTGCAACTTGCCGGCCTAAGATCACACAGAAAGAAAAGAGAGTAATGGACACAGAGCTGCTAGAGCAGAGATTCAAACAACTGTATTTCTATGTCCAACATGTAAAGAAAATTCATGTTTTCCTTGGTAAGACAAAACACAGGTCTTCTAAGATTAAATGGTAAGGGGAGAGTTTTCTTGTGAAGCATTCTAGTTTAATTTACCATTCATAGTTTGTTTCCAATGAATATCATTTTTCTCAGACACCCCTTGCTAATACTGCTGGCATCCCCATGTGTGACCCAGAGAGTAAGGGAAGTACTCATCCTCTAACCAAGGCTCAGATGTGGGCACAAACCGCCCCACTGTCCCACAGCACCCACACTGGGACATTTAAATATAGTAGAAGCAAGTGAGAACAGCACATAACTAAGGGATTTCACTTACGAAGTGAGTCTTTCTCTCTGGGGTTAATAGACCCTTTCTCACTGATTTATTTCCTTGTCATCTTAGCACCTACTACAAAAAGAAAGGCCAAGGAAGACAATTTTGCATGAGCATAAAAGTGTACTATGTGTTTTTGAACTTGGAGAAACCCAGTAGGTTAGAGAATACCGTTGGGAGTAGAATGAAGGCGAAAACTGTAGGAGGTAAAGGCAGAGAGCTGGGGCAGAGCTGGGAATGCCCTCAGAGGGCCACACTGGAAGAGCTCAGACTTTTTGGCTGGTAGCTGGTTAGCTGTAAGAAGGCAGCTCGAGAGAACACACAGAATAGAGGAGCGGAGAGAGTGAGGTAGACCAATCGTCTCATACCTGGCAGAGATTAGTGAGGGGAGGAAGCACTGTTTCAAGGTCTTCACAGGTAGAATCTGTAGAGTATGGTGCCAGACTGAGTGTGGGGGTTAAAGAGAAGGAAGAAACATCAAGGAGCTCCCAGAGAGACCTGGACCACACTATTCTGTGGAAGGCGCAGCACAGAACTCCTGAGAAAGGAGATGCGGAGGACTCCTCAGGAGGGGGAGCACTGCTGTTGCCAGGTTGTCCAGGTGGAACCGAGTCTGGGACCTTAAACATGTGAGTTATCTAGGGGCTCAGCGAGATTCCATGATAAAATATAAAGATCTGGATTCCTAATGTGTAAATAGTTGGTGGAAAAATAATACCACCTAAGATCGCCCATAAATATGTATTTATTAAAAGGAATGCTGTAGCTAGAACTTGGAGGAAAGCAACATTTAAAGAGTTAGCAAAATAAAAGCAGCCAGCGATGAAAAGTGAAAAAGAGTATGCAGAAGAGTAGTATCAGAAAGCCAAGTGTGACGGTGGTGGAGAGTCAGGGCATATGAACAGCACAGTAGCACCTGTTACAGGTCTGTAAGCTGTAACCAAGCTGACAGGATGTGGGTGTTAGAATATTGAACTGTCTTTCAACCTCTGACTACAATAGATGTTAAATGAAGTTCATTGGGTCATATAATTCATGCATGTATATTTTGAGTATATATTACTTTCCATATATTTTGCATATTTGCAAGTATTCTTGCATTTGTGTGTTGGGTTTGTGATTTTGTGAGAAATTCATATTCAACTTTCTTGAGCTGAGTTTATCTGTTTTGTATTCTTCATTTTCTTCAAACCTCATGTAATTGTTTTGGGTCTGATAATTTCAAGCCCTTTGAATAAATTTTTTCTCTAAAAACACAATTTTTGATTTATGAAGTGTTTTATTTGAAAAAGTTCACTAATGTGCCAGTATTGGGAGATTAATAAAGATATATTGAATATTAACACCTTAATCATTGAACATGCTCTTGTGATTGTCCATGTTCATGTAGTTTTATAAAGACACAAACCAAAGTAATTGTTAAAATAGAAGCTAAAGTTCAGAGTGGACCCTTCAGAGAATGAATTACACAGGCCTCAGCCAGTCGGGAGTTGTGTAGGGAAATCATTAACCTGCTCTCCTTTCTTCCCCCCTCCTCTTTGGTTTTGTTTTTTTGTTTTGTGGTAGTCTGACCCTTGGTTATCATTACAGAACTATGGAGGTGCAATGAGACCCCCACTGAATGCTTTAGGTGGCCCCGGGATGCCCGGCATGAACATGTAAGCAAAGTGCTCTGTTATTCTGTACAGTGACGCGTTCTCTCTTCTCAAGTCTTCTGAGATGATACCAGTTTGTAAAGCAAGTCGAGCCCTCGCTGTCTGTGTAACGGCGAACTAAATGTGAGCTGCGGTGTTCCCTTCATTGCCACAACCTAATCTGTGTTTTCTTCCTTTTTTGCAAAGCTTTCATCTTGCGTTTTCAGGTGCCGCCCGTGATGACCTTTGTCCATTTCTTTGTACCCACCATACAGTCTCAGTGCGGAATCTGTAGAGAACGTGAAGAGGTGCAAAGCCGAGACCATGGCTCACACAGTAGGGTGTCGTGGGCCTCGTTCTGGCAGATATGAGTGCTTCACACAGTGAAGTTTTTAACTATACATGAGTGTCCTTCACTTTTGCTTTATGAGGCCATTCTCAACCCAGCAGGAATTCCCTCTGGTACCCTCTTGTGTATTAAAGAGCTTTCCATGGGTGTAGGATGTAAAGAGTCAACTAAAAAATTATTTTTGGAAAGACCTTTCAAACCCAAATGGGAAGTCTGTTTCTCTTAGCCAGTGCAATGCAGTTTGTCAGGGAGTTTCTACTGATTTTTCACCATCCAACTTACCCTCAAAGTCGAATCCATCAGGAATTTGCTGGTGACTTTCCTCAGATCCGGGGGAGACCATCCCACTGTGTGAACTAAAGGAAGCTTACCAGAAATAAATGTTTCACCTGAGTATTTTCTCAGACACATTTTACATAAGTCCCTGTTTCAGTTACCTAAGTATCAAATTAGATAACTCTGTTGTCATTAGTGGTATTAAAGACACACTGTGAAATAAGTTCTTTTGATGTATATAGGATTTTTTTTTAAAGTTTCTGAAACCACTTTCATGGAATTCAGTTTTGCCTAAAATTGAAAATAGGTTAATAGCTGGATACAAGCCAGACTCAAGACCAACAGAAGACGGGAGGGAGAAAGTAGGTCAGATTTTCTCATCCCATCGTTTTTCACTTTTAAAATAAAAATGGATGGATACGAAGTCTGACTGTTCTTGGATTTCTCAAAGGGTTAGCCTTTTATTAATGGTTGCTACAAAAAAAGAAAAGAATGAATAATGTTTTGTGCTTGTGTTGAAGGCTGAAGCTATTAATGATGGGACAGGGAAATAACGTAAAATTTACCTGGGGCCTCACTTTCCAATCCAGCCTGTTTTAAGGAGTATAAACATGAATATGATCATCCCAGGATTGTTACTGAGAATGCACCTAGTATCTTTGCACATGTTACATGACATTATAATGGCCATGTGGCTGACTTTAGATCAACCCGTTTGTGCTAGTGCAGAGAATTTATTTTCATGTGACCATTAAGAGTCGCAAATAGCTGCTTAAAATTGTCCAATTCCTTTCCAATTTCCTTTTTAAAATGTACTGATGTGTGTAGTTAGGAGTACGTTTAAATCTCAGAGACTATGGAGACTAAAAATAAGCCTGAAATTTTTATTGTGTGGTGTGTTTTGTTTTGGTTTTTGTTTTTGTTTTTTTTTTGAGTGTGGGTTTCTTATTTCAGTATTCCAAGATATTTTTAAAGCTCTTCAATTATATAACATTTTACTATTAACATAATTTCTGGTTATTAATGAAATTTTAAGTCTTAAAGACTCTAATTTCATTGCTATTTCCTTTTATTTGTAATTTTATATCATTTTCCATTTTCTATATATTAAAATTCCTTTCAAAAATAAGAAAAAATGTAAGTTCTTACATCCTTACATATTTACAAAAGTAAACATTTTCCTCTCCTGAGAAACTTCCCCAGTATGGCAATGAGAGAGAATAATTACTGTATTGACAGTGGCCCCAACAAAGCAAAAATGAATTTTAAAAGTCATAAAAAAACAACACTCTATGTCCACACTCTATTGTAAGTTTAATTAGAATTCACTTCATAATTTATTATTTTTAAAACAGTAAGTCCGTGTAATAGCAAACAAGTACTTCTACCTTGTATCAGTGGCATTCTTCATGTCTTTCATTATTATTTGATCTTTTGCATGTTGGCCAACTTAAAAATTGAAGTGAAAAATATCAGATTGGTATTATCTTACCTATGTCTTCAAACTATTTTAAAATATTTGTGTGTTGAGAAAATCATATTTGGATGCCTCTTTCTTATTTGCTTTGAAAATACAATGACAGTCAAAAATAGCAGACACTGAAAAAAAAAATACCCAAAATGGCCACTGATGTAATTACGGTAAGTTACAGCAGCTGTGTCCCTTCATTGTGAACTAAACCACTTGGAACAAAATTTTGATAACTTTATTTTTAAAAATTGGCCATCTCCAAAGAAAGTAATTACTTTGATGTACTTTTTCCCATGTGTGCTTTAAACTCTGGGATGAATTCCACAAAGTTCAATTAAAATTAAAAGTTTATTCTCAGTATTTCTGTAACTGGTATTATATCTTCAGAAGTAAAAGTCTAATGTTACTTTAAGTGATTTAAATAGAATTTATAAACTGTGGCCCAATTGTAAGTGTTTTCGAATGCATTGTAGGTTGTATTTTCAAACAAACTTGAAATGTGGTACATTTCTAAATTAATTACATTTTTACATATTTCCAAAGAATTCAGGGTTAACTAATAAAACATTTCCAATTCAATTTTTTATACTTTGCTATCTTAGGGAAACCAAGAGGACTAAGGATTTTCAAAGGATCGTGTTTAATACCTTATCCTGTAATGTTACCTGTAGTAAAATGAGTGTGAATTACAGAAGAAAAGAGGAATTTTCTCTTTGGTGGTCATAGTTGCTCTGATTCCATCAAAATCATCATCTTTACAGACTTATTTTAAATTTATGTTTCTCAGTCAACTGTGATGGCCAGAGCTGCCTAAGCAGCTGGGGCAGGTTGAAGACCAGGCTGGGAAACTTAATGAGACCCCATCTCAAATTTTTATTTATTTATTTTTATTTATTTATTTATTTATTTTGGTACCAGGGATCGAACTCGGGTCCCTGTGCTTGCAAGGCAAGCGGTGGAACCACTGAGCTAAATTCCTGGCCCTCAAAAATTTAAAAAGTAAAATAAATAAAATAAAAAAGGACTGGGCTGTAGCTCATTTTCTGGGTTCAACCTCCAGTACTACAAAATATTTTAAAGTTTTCTCTTATTTTTTTATTGACACTGGCCTGATTCTACTTCAAGCTATACTTACATAAAAGTTTCCATTCAAGATAACATGTACGTGGATTATTTTCTTGATGATACTATTGGCTCCAAGAGGAGGGATTACAGAGTTTATTTATTCTGTGAAAATCCTTCACTGTATAACTCCCAGTTTCAGCACTGTCTGAAAAATAGCAGTTATCACATAATCTCATAACAGTAAGATGAAGTATGAAGTGCATAGTACACTGGAACTAGATTAGTATTTACTAGACAAAAGGCATAAAGACATTTTATGTTACATATGACATAATAAATTTAACATTTAATTTAATGTTAATTGAATAAAAATTTTAGTTATCTTGACATTTAATTTAGCATGTTATTAGACAAATTTTTAAATACCAAGATACTTTTATCTAGTACATCTCATTCCTATAGTACTTAGTCATAAAGTTTCAAATTTATGAGCTCATTATATGTCATCACTGTATGTAAATTTTTGCAGTGACATAGGTTTTTTATGTTACCTTCACATAAATATTTCCCGGTCTCCTTGCTGTGTTTTACTTTACACCATACAAATCGCCGGGCCAGGTCCTCCTCCAGATGTTCCCTGACCCACATTCCCCGGTTTGCATTATTCCACGTCCGCGGGGACCTTGAATGCTAGATGTGAAGTCCCCGCACTGGACGGCTCCAGGCATTTTCGGTCCCGGACATCGCCTGAGAGAGGCAGCGGCTCAAGAAGGACACGGCCCCGCCCACTTCTACCCACCCAGCGTCAGGCTTCCCCCACCCCGCACGTCACACCCGGCAGAGCTGTGCTGGGCATCTGCACCGCTCTGGTGGCAGAGCCCGTGCCCCTCCCTGCTGCTCACACCGCCGGAGGACCCAGAGCAAACTCGGAGCCCTGACTATGCCAAGCAAACACAGATCCTGGAACAGCTGACTTGGACAGCTCCTTCGTCTAACATTTAACACTTTAGGCTTAAGGGTTCTAGAATAAGGGATTTTTTTTTTACATCAAACTTTTCACTATCTTAGTGGTTAGAGAAAAGAGGAATTCTGAGTAGTCTTAATTGCTGAAGAACAGCTGTGCTAGTCTGCTTTTCCTAAGACAGTGTTTACTCGGGTATGTTTAGTACTACAACATGAGAGTAAGACCTTGATTTAACTAACTGGCCTTTAATTTTGATTTAAAACATTTATGTCCTTATAAGGTATGGGGTGCAAAGCACTCGCATCCTAACGTGAAATAATACATTGGCATACATTAGCATAAGTGTCCTCATGTTTTTCTAAGATTTCTCCTAGCCGCTGCCTTAAAATTATGAGGATGAGAAAGTGACTCTTTACTTACATTAACTAACTTATCAATGGCACTAAAAGATAGATTGATATGTAGTTGTATAAAATAACATTTGATGCTCCATGATATTTTTTAAAGGAGACAACTTTAGATACTCTTTATGTATATTTGTTTATCTGTAGTTGAAAAAGAGCAGTCATTATATAGATAAATGGAGACAGACATAATTCAGTTTATTTGAGTTATAGGTGTCTCTTATATTTGTCACAAGTTAATGTTTATACTTATTTCATTTGCTGCAGAAGTGCCATAATGATTCAGATATGTGTATGTCTGCTATTTGTGTGATTAATATTTCTGCTTCTAAAATTTTTTAAATGTTTAAATAAAACTAGCCTTGCTAAAAGTAGTTTTATTTGGGAGAAAAACATTCATGGAATGGTTAACCTCTTTTAAGGAATAAAAAAAGCTATGAAAATAATTTCAGTGTTGAACTAGAATTGCATAGTGACTAAATTATAAACAATAGTTTGATTTGTTGTATATAACTTATAAATCATTAAAACATAGTTTAAAAATTTACTTATCTTGTTATTTTTAGGGGTCCAGGTGGTGGCAGACCTTGGCCAAACCCAACAAATGCCAATTCAGTGAGTATATATATATATTTTTTCCATATATAAGTATATATATATATAATATTTTTCTTTTTCACTTGGTAACATTTCACAAAAACTTGTTGCTTTGAAAACATTAAAATCCATTATATTAACCTCTTTAACCTCCCAAAAAAGTTTGGTGTATTTTTTAGAAAAATATGCATCACTTTTATAGCTATCTAATTGTTTCACTTCAAGAGCTAATGTAGAAGTACATCTCTGCCCATTAAGGATTCTCAGAAATAAAGACGGGGTGGTGTGCGGCAGGTAGGCCGTGACCGCCTCTGCCACCTGTGTGTTCGCCCCGAGTAGTGGGGTCTCCCCTCCAGGAGCGGCAGTAATCGCTAGGTGCCAGGTGCGCACATGCTCCCTGAGAGGAGCCGGGGTCCTGGCGGCGCCCCTGTGCCGTCGCACCTGACTTCCCTGCCGTGGGGGCCGGAAAAGGCCGTGTGGCCCTGGTTTGACTGCACAGGTATTTTTCTCTTATGACTGTCATGCAGATATGTGCGCAGGCTGAGAACCGAGCTATCAGTCCCTTAAATGACTACGATTCCAATTGCATGACCCTAGAGATTCTTTCTTTTCGCGGCCGGAAGGCTCATTAAACCTCACCTACGGATAGGATTAATTTAGACCTCAAGAACGTGGGAAATGGGATGTGCGTCTAGGAAAGACCATCCTAAATCCACCGCAGAAATATTCTAAAGCAGAAATCACGTTCTTAATAAATACGTGTTGGGTTTAAGAAAAAATTTTAATTTGTGTTGCCTGCTTTCCTCATAGTTAACAGCTATGAGGTTTTCTAACTTGAAGTTATTTGAGGCGGAGACAGTGATGCAGCTTGAGCTTGGGTCTCCAGTGAGCTCTTCGATGAGTCCAAATACTCTTTTTCTGGGCCGTGTCCTAGTGTGAGTAGCTCCGCTCCTCCCAGGCGCTCTCCACCTGCTCCTGGGCATTACAGGAGCCTGGTTTGTTTGTTGCTTGCTATTTGCCGTGACCAGCTAACCTCTGGCCTGCGCAATTCAAAATGGGCTTCTTTCGGCTTCCTACTAAACGCTCATAAGGATATGGCAAAACTTTTTACACCACTGAACGCTCAGTCTTCCGGGTACTGGAATCTGGAGAGAATTCTGTCCCCCGCTGGCTTGACCTCCTGGAAGTAGGAGCCTCCTGCTGTCTCCTTCCCTCGGCCGCCCTGCAGACCCCTGATACACTCGGCCCAGGCTGAGGCCCCACAAAGCCCCCCGGGGCAGCGTCGGGGCTGAATGCTGAGAGCGGGGCGTTGTCCCCAGGGGGAAGCGGAGCCGGTGGGCAAGGAGCCCCCCACGCCTCAGGTTGCTGTGGAGCTGAGCACCGCGGTCGGAAAAGGCTGTGTACCAGACCTGCAGTCCTGAGCTGCTTTAGGCCCGGAGAGACACCCGAGCCAGCGGGAAGAGGCAGTGTGCACCCCTGCAGTCAGCCCCAGGGCCGGGAGGCGTCTGGGCCACAGGCGTGGGAACAGCCGCTCCTCACTCACGGGTGCGGCCGAGACCGTGGTCACCGCAGTGCCCGTGCGGAGGGAAGCCGGCCCGGGGGTGCGCCTTGCCAGGGCGGCAGAGATCCTGGGCGCCAGTGACTACCGCAGCCCGAGCGTGGAGGAGGAGCTGCCAGCGCCTGCGGGCGTCTCGTCCGCCTTCTCTCTCCTGTTGTGTGCACCTCCTGTGCGTGTTTGACACTGCAGGCTCTACTCGGTGAGCATCAGCAGAGGGCGTAGGCGTCTCGTCCGGGCACCGCGTTACAGAGGGCTTTTTATTTTTGCTGTTTTCAGGTATGCTTTACCTTACTCGGAAGTAACTTCAGATTTACAGAGAACTGGCAAAGATGGTACAAAGAATTCCCATACCTCCTCTCCCAGACTTCCCGTGTTTGCTTTATCATTTCCTCCCTTTACATAAACATTTTCTTGACACATTTAATATTTCCTAAAACTTTACCCCTACATACTTCAGTGTGTGTCCCTAAAAACGAAGTCATTCTTTCGCAGCTCCAAAGCATTCACTAGATAGGAGAACCAACACGGTGTAGGCAGTTTGAAGGCACAGAGCTCCTTCAGAGCTCACCAGCTGCCCCTTGATGTGTGTAACACTGGAGAAGCCCATTCTCCTGGGCATTCTGCCGCTGTGCTGCCTGCAGCCATTGCTGGCCTGGTTCACACGATGCCCCAGATGAGCAGATGCGCCCTATAAGTTTGGTGGAAACACCAGAGGCGGCGCTGTTCTTTGCTGGGGCATCGTTTCCAGAGGCACCCACCATGTCTTATCTGATGACTGGCCATGTTAATTGTGAACATTGGTTAAGGCCTTCCTCATCCAATTTCCAACCCTGCAAAACTGCTGTTTCTCCTTGGTAATTATTAGCTTGCAAACACGCTTTAAAACTACAGGAGCTGGGTATGGTGGCGCACACCTGTAATCCCAGCAGTCAGGAGGCTGAGGCAGGAGGATCACTGAATTCAAAGCCAGCCTGGACTACATAGCCAGACCCTGCCTTTAAAAAAAAACTACAGGAAATATGTTGTTTCTCCTTGTACCTTCATCAGTTTTTCTTGCCATCTGTTAATGATTCCTAAATGAATCACCATTTTTTAACCCTCATTGGTTACCAAATGGACATTTTCTCTCCTCTCCTGCTCCGTGGGAAAGTCAGTTTTAACTGGGACAAAGACTTGGTTTCTTCCCCGTTCCTGTCCCTGCCTCACAGATGTGCTTGCGGAAAGTTCCGTCAGGTGTGCTTGGAGTGCCGAAGCGGGCTGAGAGTGGCCATGAGAGCCCTGCAGCAGGGCCAGCCGTCCTCATCCAACGTGCCGTGGTCTGAGTGCCAGGCCTGTCCTGAGCCCTGACGGTGCAGCCCGAGCCCTGGAGAGTTCTCACAGGGAGAGCGGGACACAGAACCCCCGGCCAGCGCGGCCCTGAGCAGGCCATGTGTGTCCACACACAGTGCACACAGGCGCACACCCACGCTGTCACCGGGCGCTTTAGCCCCAGCCCACACCAGCTCACCGGGCCCTGCTGCCATCCCTGGCTTCCCCGAAGGAAGGGGGCTCCTGCGGTTGTCAGATGCTAACTCCCGAGTCTTCTCGCTGGCTGCAGTGTTGTCTGTCAAAGTGTTTTGGCCGAAGTTGGCTTTGGCACTCGTTTATGACAGCAGGAGAAACATTTCTAAGGACAAATCTATGTTTTCAAATATGAATGAAACTATCTGTTTTTAAGACTATTTTACGTCTAGCCTGAGACCTCTTGGTCTAAGATTCTTGCCTGGAAGTTTATTTACAAATCTACCAATTCTAGTTTTTCCTGTTATCTTTTTCACAAGGAACTGTGTGCCCTTCAGTTTGGCTGTACAACAAGGTCTAAGAACTGGCAAACATTTTCATTGAAATGAAATACTTTTCATCACAAAATACAGAAAATCAACCAAAATAGATTCATCCAGGAAAAGATGCCTGCTCCGGGTATCAGGAAAGGGCAGTTGTCCATGTGACTTTGGGCACACTTGTTTCCCAGGGTTCCAGTCGGTCATCAGGGCTTCTGAGTTACCCTCAGTGGAGCAAGAAGGCGGAGTGAAGCTCTAGGATTACGCTGCTAGAACGAAACTCACACTGGTTAAGCAAAAGAGCTCCAGCTCTTGCTTGTTCGTGTAGCAGCTGCTAACATGCTGTCTGCAGTCCAGTCACACAGTGCCTGCCTGGCCGCGTCCGGACCGTGTGGAGTGGAAGTGAAGGGTCTGCTTCACCGCAGAAGAAGGGACATGTTCAGTACCGCACTGTGCTCTGTGACCGTGACCTGCCAGCTTGATGGGGAGCAGAAAGGAGCTCCTTTAAGGGGAAAACCCAAGGCTCTGCTGTATTACAGCACCTCAGCCGGAGGGAAATACTAATCTGTTACTCCACCTGGGCGCTCCTCTATAAAATAGAGGCTCACTCTATTAAAACAGTGCTAAAAGTGACATCATTTACCTTCCTACTGGCACAGATAGTATTTTGTTATTCCCCTTCCTGGTTTCTAATTAACCAATGAGTATAAAGTAGGTTGATGCTTCACAGTGCAAGCAAAATGTGTAGCCAAAGTCTTACTGTGAAAAAGCACAGCCCTCCAGGGTTTCTCTAGGCCTCTCTGCAGCAACACAATCATGGGTGTTAGGACTCAGAACAGCTCAGGATATTTGGGTCCTTGTGGCAGCTCTGGAATCACACAACTCCTTTCTCAGACAACAGATTCTTGTAGTTTTAGGATTCTGACCTCTGATTTTGCTTATCTTCTACATCTTTGCTTTTATCTTTCATTTCATCATAATGGGTATTTTTATGAAGTATGAGGTAGAGTTAAGAGAGAGGATTTGGGGATAAAGAGAAGGAGAAATTTGAAGGTGATTTCAAGTCTTTGTGTTCTAGTTTTTGGGAAACTTGTAATAACACAGCAGAGCTAGGAATGTAGGGGGAAGTCAGCCTTAGAGGACAGAAAAGGAGATTTGGGTTTGGGGATGTTCCATTTGAAGTCTATTTGTAAAATACCATTGGTTTTTTCACGGTGTGTAGTGCACACTCTGTCACAACACTGAACGAGGTATGTTATAATTGGAGTCTACAGTGTTAACCCTCAGCTGGGTGCTCTCTGATGGTACACTAGCAGGTTACATACCCTTCCCTAGTCAACTGCTACATCTGATTTCCACAGTGATTGTTATAACTCTGTATTTGTCTCCCTGTGGCCTTTTTGCTATCTCTGGACCCTTCTCTACCAACTAAAATTGTCTAATATTTTACTAAAAAAACAATAAGAACCATTGGTCTTGAATCTCTTCAAATTCTACCCTCCACCTTCAGTAGCACCAGACCTTTAGTCCAAGCTCTCTCCCCTCCTGCCTCAGTCGGAGAAGTATGCTTCCATTTTCTGTTTTCCATATATCCTGCTCATTTGCTCTGGCCTCCCATCTTTCTCTTTGCATTGACTGGAACATTTCTCTAATGCTGAGCCAGTGGACCACATCCCAAGACAGCTGTGAGTCCAGACCCTGCCCTCGTGTAGGGCCGGAACGGATGGGTAGCAGAGAGAGAGCTGCTCTTGGCCCTTTCTGGCTCACAGGCCAGCTCCCCATTGGCCTCTCTGTCCCCACCACCACTCTAGAACATGAATTCTGGACCCAGACTTTCTGTCATCCCTAGAAACCACATAGGTGACGAATGGGGCGTCTGTGACTGACCTCCCTGTAGGAGACTTGCCCTATCAAGATGGGTAGCAGAGAGCTGCTCTCGGCCCTTCCTGGCTCACAGGCCAGCTCCCCATTGGCCTCTCTGTCCCCACCACCGCTCTAGAACATGAATTCTGGACCCAGACTTTCTGTCATCCCTGGAAACCACATAGGTGACGAATGGGGCGTCTGTGACTGACCTCCCTGTAGGAGACTTGCCCTATCAATTATGCCCAAAGCAGGCTGTGAAGGGTTCACCCCTCAGATGGCTCATTTTAAGAAGTGGGTCTGACTGAAGCTTATGTGACTCATAGGAGCACCTCATAAGCAGCATGGTAACATGCAGGTTAGCACGGCCTTCCTGCTAATGCCACAGCAGAGACCAGAGAAGTGTGAAGGTGTGGGGATCAATAGAAGATAACATAGTAGCCGAGCTCAGAGTAACTTGCACCCAAATTCCATTCCCATGACTAAACCCTTCTTACCTAGAAGGGCAAGGTTCTAATTACAGCCCTGTACTTTGTTCTGTTCCTAATTTGAAGCTTTGTCTTTCCCTGTACACACCTTGCCTGCATTAGTGTCCATAGCACCTGCATGACCGCATGTCCTCATGTTTGGTTCCCCTTTGCCACAATCTGATTGCCAATAAAAATCAGTGACCTGGACTGACCGGGGCCACTGCTGGTTGCTCAGCACTGGCCGTCCTGGCTCCCCACTGTTTTCTTTAATTCTGTCTTTGAGTCTTTCTTCAACCTGTGTTGTACACTGGGCAGGAGACTGGAACCCACATTTCCACTCCCACCAAAGTCCTGATCTTAAGGACACGGTGACCCACGTACAAGCCAAATAGGAGAGCTTAACTCTGTGCTCATCAGACTGGCCTCTAAAGCATTCAGTTGCTCGATTTTTTATAAATGTCTGTCAATTTCTATTATTTTTCTCACTTTAATAATGTTTCTCTATATTTCCATATCATCACTCCAGTGCTCCTTTGAACTATTTAATTTTGGATGTGTTGTCTCAGGATAGCAAGAAGGCTCTGGAATTATCACAGCAATGTGGTGTTAATGCCCTCTAATCTCTATAAACGAACTTGTTTAAGAGCTTGATTTGAAGAGAAAAGGGGAATTTGTTGCCCACATCTTACCCCCATTCTGCATTTGTTTTATTATTTTCCCTTGCTAATTGGATCAGGAAAAGTAAGACCTCTGCCCATACCTCATGAATGTAGTAAACTATCATTTTTTTTAATGTACATAGTTTAGAAGTTGTATCTATAAGGCTGCTGATTTTAAACATTCTGGTTTCCTGGCATTACCTTTCCAAGTATCTACCTTTCTATTTGCAGAACAAGTCATTGGTATCAAGCCCTGTGTACAGCTGACATGAAGCCACTATAACTTGAAGTTGTGACTGTCTAAACTGTCTAAAATCTTCGTTTTTCCCAGTAGATCCAAGACAGTGTGCAGTTGCTCAGTTCTCTTTCACTTATAAAGCTATGGGTTCCTTCGTCTTTTACTGTCCTTTGTGATACTCTTGAAGAGTGGATAAAGTCAGCCCCATTCCATCCCACGAATCCAAACGTGTTTTTGTCCTGTTCATGTTCCAGATACCGTACTCCTCCGCCTCGCCTGGGAATTATGTAGTAAGTACATTTGACTTTGCTCGTAAGAATGGATGCTACATTTCATGGAACAATGAAGTAGCTGTCCAGATGCTGAGAAGCCCCTGTGTATTGGCCAAGAGAGAAGTACACATCTTGAGTTGTTTTCTCTGCCAGCCTCCACACATATGCTGATGTTCACGAGCGAAACCATTATCAATATGGCCAGAATTGCCCAGAGTGCTGTGTTGCACTCCAGCATATGTTTCGGAAGCCAGCACAGTTCTCTCTGTCCAGTCATGGGGAGAGCATCCCCAGGTATGCCAGGATGCTTGGATTCACAGCTCTTCCGGAGCACACTGTGCACCCTCCTGGGTACGTTAAACCTCCTCCCAGTCACACAGCAGTGAATCCAGCAATTTGGAAAGATCTTTTAGTTTGTCGTCATTCTTAGAAATTGAGAACACCTATGTTTCTCATTACTATTTAATACATGCTAAATTTTTCTCTTAATCTGTAGACCTGATGTTAAATTAGAAGGCTGCGTATGAACTCCTGAACTCACAAATGACTGTGTCACACCAGCACATTATGACCTTGTGGCATCTCAAGGTCATCATAAAGAATAAAGTATCTTGGTATTCGTGGGGAGATGCCTCACAGAAAAGCACAGATAAAGCGTAGCAAGGAAGAACTGTCCTGAAGGAATTTTAGGGGGAGTGCAGCTCTGAAGGAATTTTAGGAAGTTTGGCCAACTGGAGTGGGGAAAAGAGCACATGGGAAGAAATCCAACGGGAATTTCACCCCACGCAGGGAGTGTCGTTAACACGTAAGATGCACACATTGCTGTGTTCAGCATTCCTGGGCATAGGAATATCTAACTTAACCATAGGAAGTCTAACTTCCTTCCATTTATATGAAAGTAAGGAAATATGGCTAAGACTTTCTGTTTTATTAAATATGAAATTACAGACTTTTATTTGAAAGGAAATTCGAGGTATTTATTAGCAGATACTATACATACGTTATTTGAAATAATGGGTAGGTCATGTTCACATACAATAAAGTGAACATTTCGCCACGTAAGAGTTAATTTGATCACTCCCCATAGGGCATCTGAGAAGTCATAAAATTCACTGCCGGGTCCCCACTGTGGCTAGCACAGCGACTTCACAGTCCCCTAAGCTCTGGCTCAGTTCGGTTACAGCCGAAGCTGAGCAGCCTCTCTCTCTTCACTGACCTCCGTGGGGGCCTCATGTGTGGTGACCCCGAAGAAATGGACGCAGTGTGTCTTTGTAAACTGTGAATCTCCTGATTCATGTCGTTTGGTTTTTAAATATCTTTTTGATTTCCTGTAAGAACCAGCGATACAAATGTAAGGAAATTGCAGTAAACTAAATACAAGTACACATTAATTATTTCTTTTTTATGGGTTCCTAACGACTCCGAAGTCATTTCTCCTTAACCTCATTACACCTGGTGTGATGAAGTTATGAGTAATACCTTGATGCATCAGGCTCATGGTTTTTGGAAACTTGTCAAAACAGTCTCAAGTAGTTAACCTAAATTATGTCGTGCATAATGTTGAAATGATTGTGCGTTAAAAGAAAATAAATTATGGAGAAAAGAGTTCCTTTATTTTAAAAAATTGAAGTATTGTAGAGATGAGTCTAACTTTTATTCTTTTTTTCTTACATTGTTTAATGAAATGCCTTATTTTTCCTGATATTTTGTGATTATTCAGGGTCCCCCCGGAGGTGGAGGGCCACCAGGAACCCCCATCATGCCCAGCCCAGCAGGTACTGTGATCACACTGGCCACATGCACATTTGATGAGGAGAATAAAATCATGGAATACAGACCTCATTTGTGAAATAAAGTTCTTAACATTCATTGTCTTGCAAGGGTTAGAGAAGTTGGGGAGAGACAGCAGATGGGAAGAAGGAGGGTCCCTACGTAACTGTTTTCTAGTTACTTAGTCATTTAGAAAATTTCTACTGTGCAGGTAACAGATTTTGTCAATATGAACACTGCATTGATTTATGTGAATTTCCCAATAATTTATCCAACTTAAAGATTCCTTGAAACTAAGAAAAAGATCCATATCTCAAAACCGAGCCAATTTTTACATAAGTAGAATATTAAATGCACACATCTATTTAAAATAGCCAATCAGCCCAGCATACCTGTCATCTAGGATGGGTGTAGATGGGCTCATGGTACTGCCCAGCCACACCTCTTCGGGAGTTTACTGATTGACTAGTAAATCCTCTATGTAGTAGGAAAAGGTTCTAAATCTTCTACACTGAAGTATACTTTAGTATACCCATAAAATTTCCCATAATTATTTCCAATAATTTTACCCTTTCTTCTTGAGACTGTGATACAGAGTCTGAAATGTGTTCAGAAATGAACGATGGGAGCTCTCCATGGCTGTCACCCTAGAGAGTGCTCCGGGTGACGTGGACCCAGGAGAGGCTCGTGCTGTGTGACTCCTACGGCCCTAGTGCTAAAAGTGGTCAGAGATACAGTCCCAGACTTGTTTACAAGGTGCTCATGTACGCTCAGTAATGAGGCAGTAGACTCGATTTTAGGGAAATTATTAATTTTTATGATAGGTGTTAAAATTTAAATCCCATTAAAATTATTATCAGTGAATTTTCAATAACAGAAAAATAAATGCTCATGATTTGATACAATATGTCACAGTTTTCTTAGCAGATTTCTTAGCAGAAATCTAAGAAGTATAAAAAGAAATATGCTAAAACTATTAGGGAAGAAATAGATCATAAACTTTTGTAAATAGAAAGATTTTTCAGGGGCCGGGGATTTAGCTCAGCAGTTCGGTGGCCTGCCTTGCAAGCGCAAGGACCCGAGTTCGATCCCCGGTACCAAAAAAAAAAAAAATTCAGACATTTACTAGAAAATACCACCCTTATTCCTATTACTGTTTTTTTCTCTTTTTCAGATGAAATTATGCTTTCCATTGGTCTTAAAAATGATAAATTTATCAAAGTTTTGCATATTTAAAGTACACAGTCCATTTTCCCTGTCACAGGCAATAGGACTATTTGCTACAGTTGAAAACCAATGTAAAGCTTTCGTGTGTTTGAAAATCTGTCCAAGATTTTCCAAATAACAAGTTTCCTTGCAGAGAGTTTACCCCATTAGTTAAACGTAAGGTTAGCAGGGTCACTGTCCAAGGAACATACGGTAGGTGAGACGGAGCCCTTGTCCTTCTCTCGGTGAGTTATGATAGCCCCACTGGATGTCAAAGGCAAATCCCATAAATAAAATCTTCTCCATAATGCAAGGTGGACTCCATTAGCGGGGAGCCCCCATGTACCCCGAAATGTCAGGACGCAGCTGTGGAAGAGGTGACATTTGGAAGGGGCGAGCAGAATTCAGCAAGTGGGCACTGGGAGAAGAGGCTCGGCGGGAGAGGGCGGGATGGCGGACGGCTTCATCTGGACCGCTGGCATCTGCTACAGATGAAGTCCCGAGGGCGACGGGTCGTGGTCAGCGCACAGCCAGTGAGTGACGCGCCGCCAACTCTGCAAGGGCTGCGGGCGCAGGAAAGTCACAAGCTCGCTGCCGCCCCAGGAGGGTCACACGGGGCCAGGGTGACGGTGGCCGTCGTCCCCGGCAGGCGTGCTTCACTCCCTCCGAGCAGTGCAGAGCACACCTTCTCAGACACTTCTCTTTCCACAAACGGAGGCCTACTGTACTTTATGTAAGAGAAGTGCATAACTGTAAGAAAATGAGCTATACTTCAGAACTGACATTTCCTCAGTGTAAAATAACTAGCCTTTCACTCCAAGTTCTACAGCATAAAAACACATACTCAGGGACTTGACTAGAATCAGATAATAAACATAAACTGTAAAATATAGAAATACTAAAAAATGTTACCTATATTTACATGGATATATAGTCAATTTTATTATAATGAATCAAGAATAAAATGAGTTAAAAAATAATCAAAATTCATTTGGTGAAAGAATCTGGCTTTTACTTTCATTCCAGTTAGACCTGTTCTAATTTCCTTCTTTTGGAATTCAACCAAGGTGTTCTACCATAGCTTTTTAAAAAAAGCCTCGTTTTTAAATTTCTGTACATGAAACCTAAGGAAGTAGTGAAAACTGAAAAGCTACTGAATCTGGATTTTAAATGCTTTTAGTCATATATCTATCATTGCTTGCAGAAGTAAAAAAAAAATTTTTTTTAATTCACTGTAATTTAAATTTTTTTCAAGCAGTGTTGCTTAGTTCTGAATTACCAAAGTGAGTGTTTCATTTATATGCTTGGTGTGTGACCTTGCAGTGATAATTTGTGGTCAGGAAATGACTGTCGTGTTGTTTCCACACAGCAGTGGCCATCTGAGGTGCTGCTGCCTGTGTGCACCCAGACTCCCTTTAGCTGTTATTCTGAGATGACTTAGCTGTAAATTATAAAGAAAAATATTAATGAAGTAATATTTTATTTCAGATTCAACCAACTCTGGAGACAACATGTATACTTTAATGAATGCAGTGCCTCCCGGACCTAACAGACCTAATGTAAATATGCTTTTCAAAATGCATCTGAAGACTTTCATCCTCTGAGTCCATTCCATTTCTTGGATGCAATGTAAACATTGTGTTTTATTATCCAAGAGTTTATTGGCAATCAGAAAAATACTTTATATGCTCTGGGCTGAAAGCAAACATATAGCACACACACCACACACACATATATAAGATTTTATATCAATATAATTTAAATATGAAACTGAACCTAATCAATTACAAAATGTTGGTCATTCATTCTATTTCATTGCTTAATCATTAATACAATTTTAAATGAAAGGTTATATATAATCACTTGTTTTCCCTGGGATTTTAGCATATCTTTGTTTTCTTCATTGTGAGTTTTTTAATACTGTTAATCTTGAAAATAGGTTGCTGGAGATGCTTGTTATTTTTGTATTACAAAATCTAGTGTTTAAATATGGAAGTGAGATAGTTCTACAGGAAGAATTTTCATGTTTGTTTTAACGTATATGGTTGTGATTTTTTTCCACAAAAGCTCATAGGAAAATAGTTATTTACAATTTAAGGGCTACATGTCAACAAAAATATTTATGATGGATTGTAGCTATTAAATCTAAATACAACTATAATATAGTTATAGGGCAAGGTCAGTGACTTAATATAGCTGTAAGCATGTGTGTAACATCATGTCCCATATATGCATACATACACAGGACAGCTGAAACTCGAGGAAATGGGAAGATACATTTGCTGTGCGTTAAACTGACCGAATACATGTACCTAGAGTCAGAACCCTCTAAAGTACCGTGGAGCCATATAAAAGTCCCAGCCGTATAAATTCCCTGGCTGTTGGGTCACAGCTCATTTGTCAGCTTCCATCTAAACTGTGCTTTTTGATAAGAGCTGAATAACAGCACAGAGTTCAAAGTCATCCTCTTTGAGGTAGCAGTGAGAGGTACATACTCCAAGTGGTTTACAAGTAGTTTACTAATCCATACACGTTTTTTTTTTTTTTTTTTTTTGGTACCAGGAATCAGACTTGGGACATTGTGCTTGCAAGACAGGTGCGGTGCCCCTGAGCTAAATCCCCGGCCCGCCCTGCACTTTTAGATACTCTGTTTTAGGCAGCAGAATTCTCATTCATCTGGGAAAATGTGTGGTCATGTAAACAGTGTAGGCTCAGGACAGCGGAAGGTCACCGTGTCTCCTCACACGTGGTGCTGCACAGGCCTGTCTGCGAGGGCTGTGTTCCCCCAAAGCTTCTATGATTGGTAACTACACCGTCTGCACACACACATGCACATGCACACATGCACACAAGTACACCACATTCAGAATTTTGCACCATGATCTTGGAGTCCTCTTATGTGGGAGAACTTTTAAGAGAATGTTTCCTGTAGGCTGCCTCCTCCTGAGTGCTCGATGACTATAGACAGTCAGCAGGCCATCACACTGGCTCAGGTTTCCTCAGAAATGTTCTAGGGAGGTGACGAGAAGCCACAGTGGGCAGGCCACGGACGTCCATCTCCACCTCTACGATGGCCCATCTCGTCACAGCTGTTCCGTACCAGGCTTCCAACATAAGGTTTCACTCAAAAAGAAAAGAGAATTCCACTGATTGACAAAATGTTACGTAAAACTGTGTGGACTGACTGTCACTGAGCTGACACAGTCGAGACGGCCAAGGTGAATTAGCTCTGTTCAGCTATCTGTCAGGAGCTATGTGTGTTTAACCTGTACGATGAAATGACTTATTGTGCCCATCTGACCAAAGGTAGATTGCATGCTAAGAAAAATGTTCATGTGGCATAATGACATTGAATTGTTCTAACAGCTTCTAAGAGCTATATTGAAAAATTGCCAGCATGAGAGGAGAGAACGCTCACCTTGTTGTTTGTGTGAGAATGTAGACTTTCTGGTTAGGGATCTCTAAACAAGAAAAACTCAGACATAACTGAGGTTTAACCTGAGTATCGAGAACATAAAGAAGATGAGAGAGCCGGGGGGGCACACCAGTCAGAGAAACCACAGGTGCAAAAGAGATCAAGTGAAAACTGTTGTTTGAAAATGAAAATGAGCTGTGATGGTGTCTTGTGATGTTCAAGAGAGATACTCTAACACTGAGACAAAGCTGTTTTCAATGTGATCATCTTTTTCCTCATTTTTAAATAGTTTCCAATGGGCCCTGGGTCGGATGGTCCCATGGGTGGATTAGCAGGAATGGAGTCACATCACATGAACGGCTCTCTAGGTAAGGATTTTAAACTTGATGGGTAGAATAAACTCAAAACAACCTTATTCTGTGTGGTGGATGGTCAGGTTTGCTCAGTTCTCTTCAGCGCTGCCTGGGTGTGATATTCTTCACAGCGTGGTGGCCTGGTCTCCAGACATCTCTAGAGAGCCACCTCGGTCGCCGCCACGGTCATTATTGTCCCAGGCTAGGTGTCCTGGGCCACAGGAGGCCCTGCCACCCTGGGCCCGCATCATGCACTTCCCCAGAGCACTGCAGCCCTACCAGCTGGCTTCTCGTCTGCAGGGGTCGGGGACACAGTCTGGGAGGAACTTCAGTTCTCCAGAGTGTCGCAGTTTAGCGGTCATGTTCTGGGAAACCCGACCCCTATCCCTGAGACAAGCCGCTCCTCACGTCGTCCAGTAAAGCTGTGTGTGTGACCGACATGAACACACACCTCATCACGGCGTCTTCTAAGGAAGGAAGCCCCACACCCGCACAGGGGGTGACAGGCTCTGCAGCAGTGACAAATGCGGGGGGGGCACAAAACTGACTAGGTCGCCGTGTGCGGGACAGTGGTGCCTCGGCTCACGAACCTCGTCTGTCCCGCGGTTGTGGAAAAGATGGCCGCGGTGGTGTATGTCACCCGAGGCGGAGCTTGCAAACAAAAATAAAATTTTGCCACATCCTGTTTGCAAATCATATTGTTTGCAAACCCATTGGTGAACTGAGGTCCCACTGAATATCTTTAGGCAGAACAAATGCAAAATTCAGTGAAAATTTTCTCTTGTTTATACATGTTTAAATGACACATGATGGAAACTAATTTAAAAGTTGACAGTGGATAGAAGGCTGTGGTAATTTCTCCCCCTTTGTGGAAGGGTCTTTCACTAAGTTGAACAAACTGTGCTTACAAACAATTTCAGTTACATACAGATTTCACTCCCCGTGCAAGGAATGCTTCCAGGTGGGATTTTGAAAATCCAGAAATGTATCTGGATTTTGGTAATCCAGAAGTGATTTGCAAACTGTCGGCAGCTCAGTGACAGTTTTGCTTTTAAGGAGCCGCCCTTAGTTTGCCTAGATTTTCAAGTCTCATTTTGCTGTTGTTGACCTGCACTGACTGCCGTGGCCACTGGCCACACACGGCCATTTTACCTGAAGTTGAAATGTGAGGCCCGGTCCTTCCGCTGCAAGGCCGTGGGCACAGGTGCACAGCGGGCTGGCGTCCTCCAGGCCAGACAGCATGGACAGTTTCCACCCTCATGCAGCCCTGGGATGTGTTTACTAGTGTGTTTTGCAACAATTCACTGTCCAGTCTTTTCATTTGTAAAGTTAGTCAAAGAAAGATGATGTCTTGACATAGTTGGAAGGCTCTCTGTTTTCAGTTCACCAGAACAGGGTTCCGGAAGAGTTCCACACAGGCCTGGGGCCATTCACACATACGCAGGACTGCATGTGCACCACTTTGTCATGCATGTTTGTTTACAGATTAATCGCTATCCTGTTAAAATATTAGTGTTTTCAAGGAAAATCATTAAAAATAAAATAGTTTAAAATAAAACTAATATTGTTGCAAAGATCTGATCATTGTTTGTTACTCAATGTATAGATCAATTTCTTAGGACAAAAAATTAATAGTAATTGTTCATCTTTCCCAAGAGTCAAATACAATATTATATATTGAAGGTGTTTTTAGTTTTTAATGTGAATATTTATTGCTATCAATTTCAATGGTCTTAACAATACTTTGCTTTTGCTATAGTAAAACATGGTTCCTGATATTGTCAAATATCACTACAAATGTAAATTTTTATTTTATAATTTATGAAAATACGTGTAGAGACATATATACAAATTACATACATATTTTAAAATTTTAGTTAAATAGGGTGCATAAAGGATCTCTGATATCCCCTTTCATGACTCTGTGGTAGCATGGTTAGGCAGAGTTCCTTACATTTCCCATCAGATGTGCCTATTTCTCTTTACAGGAGCAATTTCTAAATGTTACCTTACCTAATAAAAGGTTTTCTTTTTTTTTTTTTTAGGCTCAGGAGATATGGACAGTATTTCCAAGGTGAGTCCTGTCTATTGTTTTATTTTTATCTCTATTTTCCTCTACATGAAACTGTTACCAAGATTATTTGAATGAGCATGTAACTTTATGAATGTTCCTCTCGTACAGAAGATTGAAAGAGTTCCAGGCGTGATTCATTGGTGGTTAAAACTGTTAATGGCTATGATCTTTGGGAAGGAGGGACACTTAAGAGTGTCGCTATGAGTCCTGTCTATTGTTTTATTTTTATCTCTATTTTCCTCTACATGAAACTGTTACCAAGATTATTTGAATGAGCATGTAACTTTATGAATGTTCCTCTAGTACAGAAGATTGAAAGAGTTCCAGGCGTGATTCATTGGTGGTTAAAACTGTTAATGGCTATGATCTTTGGGAAGGAGGGACACTTAAGAGTGTCGCTAAGCCTGCTACACTTCATGTATTAGACATGCTATACATGATTAATGATTACTTGGCACCCAAGTAATAACCAGTCTAATCACATTGTGATATACCTACTTGTAAATTAAACTGACAGAGTTTAGATAACCTTTTGAAAATTTAAAGGTGTCTGAAGCCAGTGAGAAGTAAAGTTGAAAAAGTGGTTATATAGATTACAAGGGCATTCACTGGATTTTTACTTTCATTTGGTCTTACAAACTTTTCTTGGACAGTGTTCATATATGTAATCATTATTCTTATTCCCAAAATAGAGTAAGAATTAGAAGAAAATTATTTTAGTATAAATAGGAAAGTGTACGTGTCTGCATTTTTCTTCCTTCAGTAATTTGAATTTCTAGAATTAATCCTTTGCAAAAATGCTGTATTCTTTGGAAGAAATGTTTTTAGGTCATAATGAATTTAAAATAGCTAAGAGCCTAATATATTTAGAATGCTTGATAAGAACTAATTATTAGCTAGCACTAGAATGTCTCTCTGAGAAGTTTGCTTTGTATCAGTAAATAGGGAAGTTCATTAAGGTATGACTTTGCTTTTAATTCTATTTCTAATTTACAGTCCTATATAATTATGTAAAATTCTCGAGGCCAAGAAAAATAAAGTAAGATTCACCAAGCTGCAAAATATTTTAAATTAAGACTGCAGCCTGAAAAAAAAAAGAGTTTTAAAGTTCGATCCTGACATTTAACCTACACCTGGCTTCCCAGTCCCCCATGTTCTGTAGGCGCTCAGGTGTCAGTTTTAGGAACAACTGGAAAGGTCTTTTATCCCCGAGATAGAAATGTTTTAACAGGCAGAACGGGAGGTGGGAAGCCCGTTTTCAGAGAGAGGCTCCCGCGTGGTTTCCTCAGGACGGCTCTTAGCACTGGCACGCGAGGTGGCACGGGCCTTGCTCTGTGCTCACTCAGCGTCCAGCCTAGGTCATCGGCTCTGGAGCTGGTTCTGAACACACAGTAGGGTCACCACGTCACCTCCGGCCATGGTCCTGAACTCTCCCTAGAAACCCAGACAGTAGACAGCTAGACGGGAGGTGGAGTAGAAGCCTCCATGATGCAGAAAGCACCTTGACATTTCTGAGCAGAGTCGTCGCAAGGAGTGAAGCGCGTCCTGCCCGGCCTCCGCTCAGCTCTGCTGCTGTTGCCAGGCCTCTTGCTGGGCACTGGGCCCAGTGACCTCTGGCCTTCCCTGAGCATTCTCAGCCTGGTGCACCGTGGGGGACACAGGGCTGTGGATGCTAGTGTGCGTGCACACTCTCACGTTCACACTCAGGACTCCTGGTTCCGCAGACGTGAGTGTCCCGGCGTCAGGCTGGGCTCTGACAGTCAGAGATGAGCAAGGGCAGCACCTGCCAGTGAGTTTCAGCGGAAGTGAGGGACCAGAGAAGCTTTACAAAGCCATGGGCATAGTAGTACAGATGAGCTCGAGCGACTGGCTGCGTCCGTCTCTTGCCGAGGTCCCACTGCACACCGCCCTCCCTGCTCCCTTGCCCCGCTGTGCCAGGCTGTGGGCACCGTGCAGTCCACGCCCGTCCTGCCGCTCTCTCTAGCAGCAGCTTCATCTCCCCGTGTCTTCTCACCAGCAGCCTCACTTTCAAGCCTCTTCTTCCCAGTGTGAATGGCCTGGCTAACTTTTCCCACCCCAGGCTCAGCTGCCACTCTGAACATTTCTCTTCCCCTTTTTCCTGATCTTCTCCTTCATTTCTACCCCATTCTTTTCCTGGTTATTATTGTTTGTATCATTTCATTTTGAGACGGGGTTGCACCAGTTGCCTGGGCTGCCCTTGAATTTACAAAGCCTTCTCCTCAGCCTCCTGAGGAACTGGGAGGTTTGTGCTGCTGTGCCTGGCCCTGGCCCTTTTAGACATTGCTCATGTGCTGCTTCGATTCTTCCTCCTCTTTCTTGCCATGTATATTCCAGTTATATGTCAGAAATTAAGGACTCAGCCGAGAATCACAAATGTGGGTTTGACTCTTACTGGTGTGCTTTCACTTCTGCCACTGTCTCCTGAGCTGCGACGCAGAGCTGTAGCTCGCTCCCTCCTGGGCACAGTTGCTGAGGACCAGTGTGAACATGCACTGGGGTTGTGAGGAGCTGCACACACCAATGCCTTCCCCTCACACAGGTTGGCGCCACTGTCACTGCCAGGGACACACAGCATGGTCACCTGCGCTCTGACTGCGTTGGGTCTGGGCCAAGCTGAGCTCGATTAGGGGAGGAGAGAAGTGGGTGGTTTGTTCTTGAGAAGAAAAGCAGCTACCAAACGTTCACATTATGCCCTGTCATGTTGATGTTTTTGAGTTTGAAAAAAAACTCACCTGGGAAGGCAAGATGCGATCTTAGCAGGTTTAATAAATGACTGAAGTCTCTGGAGCCCGGAGCTTTCTGACTGAACCTCGGTTTCCTGAGGACCTCACGAGGGAACGCAGGGCGGCCGTGGCCTCAGGCCCTGCTCAGCTATGCCCACACGGTGGCTGGCAGCAGAGCTCAGCTCCGTGGCCTGGGAAACTCAGCCCCGGTGGTCTCCAGGGCTCTGGTGTTGATATTTCTCTATTCTACCATAGCAGAGCCAGGTTGCTACTCACTTTTTTAATTTGAAGTTTTTAAAATTTGAAACTTAAAGGTTTGGGACACTTTTTGAGACTAGGGGAAGAGACAACCTACTAATTAGGAGAGGCTGTAAAGGGAGGCCTAAAGGTAAAATTAGAGACCTTGGAGACCAAAGAGCACAAAAAGAAACATGGCTGCCTGAGACACTGAATGAGCTGCACCATTTATGTGACCTCACCATGCTTGTTCATACATGACCTCAGCATGGTCGTGCGTACATCACCCCTCGCACACACTCATTCATACGTGACCTCAACATGCTCGTGCGTACATCACCCCTCGCAAGCTCGTTCATACATGACCTCAACATGGTTGTTCATACATGACCTCAGCATGGTCGTTCATACATGGCCTCACGTGTGCTCATTCATACATGCCCTCGCAGCTCAAGGGAAAACTTCCCAGCGTGAAGAGGAGCAATGAGAATGTAGTAGAATCCTTTGTGGACTGCATCCTTAAAGGCCTAACTTATTTTAAACTAAATCATTATTAGAGTACAGAATAAAGCACTTTATCTTATGAAATAAGAAGTAGAATTTGCGTGACTAGTGTAGCTAGAGTGACCTCATCTGGATTCTTTTGGGATCCTTTTCCCTGCTGCAGGCCACCTGGATGACCTGCACGCTGCTCACTAAACAGAGTTAGTAATAACACTGGAAGGACCCAGAAGCATTGCACTACTGAAAGGGCAACATTGCTTTCAAATTATAAGTAATCTTATGTCAGCACTTTGAGTCAAGAGCCAGATTCAGTTACCTGAAGTTTCCAAACTGTAAGTGAAGGAATGACGCATGGCAGGTCTCAGAGGGACGAAGGCAGCCAGCGCCTCAGTGCCAGGCAGTGCTGGGCGATGGCACAAGAGCGGCGTGCTCACCTCGTGTGTCCTGCAGACTGGGCAGAGTGGACACGCCCCGCTCCTGGGCACATTCTGAAATCTTCATACATCTGCTTAGGTTATTTTTATCTCAATGTTACCATCTTCTCCATTCAATACAAATGACAGAAATCCGCCTTAACTAAAAAGATTTGGGGGTGCTGGCTCAGTCTCAGCATTTTTATAAGACTGCTTTCCTTTCTGAGCTCAGTCAGCATCATGATTCCTGTTTTCAAAGCACAATTTGGAATATTAATCCCTGGAATAATGAGTTATAAAATAGTGGATGTAGTTAAATTTGACTTAAATGTTCAAATAAATGAGTTCACCGATGTTGATTCCAGGTACTATTGCCTTTCTATATACTCGGGTAACTTTCTAGGGAAAGAGAGAGAGAGAAAAAGGGAGTGTGCTTGAGACTAGCGTGGTCCTGGTGCTGCGAGAGGGGCACCTGCTGCTCCTGGGGCTCTGTCCTCAGATCCCCTCCGCAGGGCCCAGCAGGGCAGAGCCCTTCATCCTTGTCCCAGCAGCCCATCTGCCTGGGCTTTGTGTCGTCCCGTCCAACTGTCCTGAAATGCGAATGTTTATGACCCACCTTCTTTTATGTTAAATCGAAATCCTCCAGCATTTTTCTTTTAGAGAAATCTAAAAACTTCTTCCAAAAAGAATATAAAATGGCAGTGGCTTCCTTTTAAAACAAGTAAAAAAGCTTAAACCTGAAGTTGTTTTTCCACCAATCTGGAAGAATCACCCACACAGGTGTGGCGCTGTAGAGCCCACCACGTGCTGGGCCCTGTTCCTCCGTCACCATCCTTGCCCGCCTGCATGGCCGCGGTGATGCCAGGCGTTTCGATGCACTGGGAAGCAGTGCTTGCTGCTTCTGGCAGCCACTTCACCCAACAGCAAACAGCAAAGTCAGAGTGAATCTACCTTTAACTTGAGGACAGGAGAGGTTCTCGAGCAGTGCACTCAGCCTCCTTTTCCCACGAAAGCACGCACTCGAATTCTGAAGTCCTGAGGTGCCTCTCTCGTTCTTCACCACGTTTATCGTCTTCCTGTCCTCCTCAGGGTTCATATCTGAAAAGACAGTTGAAATAGTGTTATCTGTAGCTGCATGTAGAGTAAAGGGGGTGTCTGGAGGCGGTGACTTTTCCCAGCCTGGCTGCGGTCTGTGGAAAGCTCTCATCAGAGCCAGGCTGGGAACGTCTTACCTCTCCAGAGCTCTAGAAACTGCAAGCTGAGGGTGGGAAACTGAGTAAATATTGATTCTGAAACTAGGAAAACAGTCTTGGAGGTGACCTGGGCCGTTGCTCCGTGTGTCTATTTTGATTTCCCCCCACACACGTCTGTCCGTCCATCGGCCGGGTGGGGGATGGAGCCTGAGTGCAAGTGCTGACCACGTGGGCACCACGCTGCTGCCCAGTGCCACAGCCCAGGTGGGATCTGAAACGGCGTCCTCACCAGCGCCTTGTTTTCTGAATCTTGCTTACAGAATTCGCCCAATAACATGAGCCTGAGCAACCAGCCAGGCACTCCGAGGGATGACGGCGAGATGGGGGGCAATTTCCTCAACCCTTTCCAGAGCGAGAGTGTGAGTAGCCTTCTCTTCTCCGCCTTGGTTTCCGAAGGTCTGCTTGGTAAACCCACAGAGCCACTGTTACCTCCGCCAACCGAGGGCTCAGGGGGCGTTCTTTCAAATTAGAAGATGCTCCGAGAGGAATTTCTTTGCAGATATCTAAAATAAACCTTTGTTTGTGTACCCCTGCGCTCACGTCACAGAAGCAGTAGTAACAGCTTCCTCGAGAGCATCCAGTGAGTGTCCGCCCGAAACGGCTTGCCTAGTTGACCCTTTCCACCCGTACATATCTTAAGCCAGCGAAAGCAGTGGCTTCCGAACCTCCAGGGAAGGGGGCAGGGCCAGAAGTGAGGCAAGAAAGCACAATCATTCATTCAACAAACAACCCAGAGCACACCTCTGGCACCTGGTGGTGTGGGTGCTGGACAGACCAGTAGACCCGCAGTCCAGCACAGGGCAGTGACCTTTAAACATGCTGTTCACACTAGACACACTTGTGGGATTTTAGAAATACCTGTTCCCAAGCGCATGCTCGCTGTGTCTTTTACTTCTTGGTCGCAGCCAGCAGCCTCTGAGGGACAGGACATATCCTCCCTTTGCATTTTATCTGTATTAACACTAGGAATAACTGTTGAACTTTAGTTTGTTTTATTTGCAAGGTATTTATAATTAGTGAGAACATAGAAGGTGTATATACACATAAAAAATCAAAAGCTCAGCTGTCAGTGATGAGGAAATAGGAAAAATATGAGAAACCACGTAGTTTAATAATGCTTCCAACGTAGGAATTACATTTTTGGGCCCTGTTTCTTTCATGGGTTTACTGCAAGACTGTGGATGGACTAGTCATTTTCCTGTGTCTACTTTATCTAATTAGAGACATTTACTTCCATTTTTGTGATTCTTCCAGCAACAAGGTGGTGTAATACCCAGTGAGGTACAGGATAAATCAGTTCGGTTTGGCATTTCCTGAGCCTGCAGTAGGCAGAGCACTAGGTAAAGACAAGGTTTTCTGAGATAAAGATAGCACACGCCTGCCCTGAAGGTACACAGCCCGATAAGAAAGACAGGGGCTCACGTAACTAACAAAAACCCCTCTGGGAACGGTAACGCCATCTGTGTCACACACAACAGCAGAGAAAGGAACTCGGTGTGGTGAAGAAGACGCGGAACAGAGGGTGTTCACCTACGCACACACGTCCACGGCGCAGTCTCACTCAGCCATACAGAGTGAGGCCCTGTCACTGCAGCGTGGGTACAGCTGGAAGACACTGTGCCCGTGAGAGGAGATGGCGCAGAGGACAGCACGTCCTGGCCTCACTCAGGTGGAAGCAGAGAGTGGAACGCTGGCCACAGAGCCAGGAGCTGGGGGCCAGGACAACACATAGCAGGGCCACTGTGGAGGATGGTGCTGCACTGTGCACCTCAGACAAAACCAGGAAGAAGGGTCTTGGATGCTTTCACTACAGAGAAATGGCAGTGTCTGGGGGGAGAGACGCAGTGAGGAAAGACCACGAGGCTCTCCATAAATACGTACAGTCTTCTGTGTCCATTTCCAATGTAAAATCAAAATTTAAAACAAAAGCAGTGGTATTTTGAAAGTAAACAGAAATGATGAAGAGGGGCTTAAGAACCCTGTTTGAAGCAGGTTCCCTGTGACTTTGGGAGCAGGGACAAGAGGGACCCCACCCCCAGCAGTCACCGTGACCTCTCCTGGGTAGTAGTTACAACAGGGCTGTTGATTGGAGCTCAGTGTCGGTGGACACAAGGACTCGGGGATCTGACTCCTACAGAACACACACCAGCCTCCATGTCAGACCCACCTGTGAGACACCACACCCTCCCTCGAGTGTGAGCCCTGGAGAGGAGCAGGGCTTCCCCGCCCGGCCCCTGGCCCAAGCCCAGCTGTGACTGTGGTGGAATCAGAAAGCAGAGGCTCCTGCTCCTCCTTCCTCCCTGTCTCCTGCCCCCAGCAACGCAGTCACAGAAGGAGACACGTGGAGTGGTGTGGACAGCTGGGCCCGGGTCCCCGGCGCTCACCGGAGCTGACCTACTGTGCACGGTCGCTGCTACTGTGGCTCTGGATCGTGTCGCCACGTGCTTCTACATAGACCTCTGTCGTGAGGAGATAGGAGGAAAGACAGGGAGATTCGGGGGCTCGTACAGAAGTTTTTGTACCACTAAGCCAGAGCCCCATATAATTACTAACATCAAGGAAGCGCAGAACTATGTAATGCATTCAAGAGGAAAACTTTCTAATGCAGACGCAAATGCTGGTGTCTTCAGTGCTTGTTATGGAGGCCTGAAAGGCAGGGTCCTGAGCAGTCTGCCTCATGGGGACTGAACTAAGCCCCAGAAGCAGCAGGAAGGAGCCTGCGTCCATGGCACATGCACAGCTTCCCCTGGCGACACAGAAACGAACGCCCAGCACGCTGCACAGCGAAGCCTTCCTGGACAGGGTCACAAACAAGGCCTTTTATTTTAAAAAGCAAAGATGCCCCCTAGTGTCCAAATTTGGAAACAGGTTTGAAAGCACAGCATATGAAATTACTGAATTTTAAAAGCAGATCTTCATGCTTTTCAAGGGAAGAACCAATTGACCTAATCTCCTGAATTATGTTAGAGAAATATTAAAGTCTTAGTATTAGGAATGGAAAGCACAGTGTACAGGGTCCCTTACTGCCCCCTCCCTTTGATTTCTGCTATTGTCCAGATTTTCGTGTAGTCACATAAGCTTATTTTACTTGGAACAGAACTGTTCCTTATTTCCCAGTAAGAAGATAAAATGCAGAAGCTGAGGCATAGAAATGTGGTAAGAACCAAGGGGTTCTTGACAAGGCAGGAATGGGTATGCACTGTCCAGGGATTTAGTGAATACCATTGTGCAGTGCACTGTGCACCAGCAGGGTGCAGCAAGGGGAGATCGAACGCATACCACACCGGGGCACACGGACCAGCTCCCCACGACGCCAGTGGTCGCTGTGCACTGCAAACGTGTACTAATACAAATGAAAAGTAAAGATTATGCCGTGTAAAAGGTAAAATAAGTTGTACTGCATCTAAAATAACATCTGTAGCATTTACTCTTGGGGAGACCAGCCCTGTCCCGTGAAAAATAAGGCCCGCTGCAGCTCCTCAGCTCCTTGAGCATTTTCCCAAGTTACTTCCTGGAGCGAAAATTGCCATTCCTTCTGATCTCATCTGACCGTGCCTCTTACTGCACTCTGTCTTGGCTCAGTTTTCTCCTTGGGTAAAGCTACCCCTTAACATCCCATCGAATCAGTAACAAATTATCATTCTTCTGCAAGATTTGCTTAAGATGTTGTAACTAGCCCAAATTAAAAAGTGTTAACAGTTCCTAGTGTTAAGGTTACTAGTGACTAATAAAAGTAAACTCTATGCAAATGTATGTTTGCATACATGTATCTTTTAACAAAGTATATTAAAAAGAAAATGATTCTATATGTTTAATTCTGAGTAAACTCGAATTATACAAAGAAAACATCCTAGGGCTTTTTAAACCTCAGTTCTTCATTCTATACAGGGAGTTAACTTTCACACTGGAAATAACTATGACTTAACCAGAAATGGTTTTAGACATTTCTTTAGGGTCCTTTCTGAAATGCTTTAGATAAATTTGCTGTTTCAACTTATTGACCCAGTATATGTGATAAAATCTTTGTTCAGAAATGATCGATGACCTAGCTGTGCTGCTTAAATTTAAATTAATTACACTTAAACGCCATGAAATCTCACTCCTGGCCTGTACCTCGGGAGCCCAGTCACCACCAGGGCTGGTGCTGTCCCACGCAGGTCTTGGTCTTCACTGAGAGCCGGCCGACTGCCACTTGCCGAGTTGCATTTCTTACTGTAAATAGCAGCACTGTCGAGCGCATACATTAAATTTCTCTGTGCATGTTTTCCTGTATCTTCTGAGTTTTTCTACTTCTTTTAATTTTTAAAATTTGTGTGAGCACATGTTTGCAGTACGCAATGACTGCATCCGTGGGGACCTGGCACATGCACACAATATTCATTCATTTTTCTCTTTGCTTCTTGCCCCCAAAAGTGAGACATCAAAGTGAGATCTGCCTTGCCAAAGGCTGTGGATGGTCGGTGCTGTTACTCTGGGGTTCCTGGGAGGAAGTGGGGGCTCCCCTCCACCCTGCAAGGGCAGGAGCCTGCTCAGCAGGCCCTGTGTGTGGTTGTGGCAGGAGAAGGTGGTACTTTGCTTTGTTCTTTTGCCACTGTGATCAGAAAGGGGAGATGTGCACAGAGCACATCTTCATTCTCTTTTAAAAATTAACTTTGGGTACATTTTAGGTCCACAATACGATGATACTCGTTGGTATCTTGCACCTTCACATGATGTATCTTGGTTCTTATTTTTCCCCACTTGCCTGCCTTCCCTTCACCCCCTCTACCCCTACCTAGTTACAAAGACTTTGCTTCCGTTTTTTCCTTTTCTCATATTTATTCCTTTCCCCTACCCCTCCCACTTCCCCTTCCCCTTTGGACCTTTTCTTCCTATTTCACATTATCAGTTAGTTATTCGTTTTAATCTTCATTTACACTTTCAGTTTTGCACACCAGAGAAACTATTTGGCATTTACACGTGTGTCCTATTTATTTCACTTTTGAGTATCTCCTCAATGTGCATCCATTTAGCTAAGTTAGTTATTTGTTTTAATCTTCATTTACACTTTCAGTTTTGCACACCAGAGAAACTATTTGGCATTTACACGTGTGTCCTATTTATTTCACTTTTGAGTATCTCCTCAATGTGCATCCATTTAGCTATAAATGTCTCTTGTTTCTCATTTTTATGGCTGAGTAGTACTCCATTTTATTTTTTTAAAACACACCACATCTTCTGTATCCCTTCACCAGCTGATGGGCGATTGGGCTGTTTCCAGGCTTCAGCTGTTACAAACTGTGCCACTGTGAACGTTGGGGCACCTATATCGCTGTGGTACGGTTCTTTTGATTCCTCCGGGAAGATATCCGGCAGGGCACATCTTCATCCTAAAAGCTCCCCGTCTGTGTGGTGTTGGGAGGAACCTTCGTGGTCCACAGGAAGCCGCAGCTAACATCCGGTCCCTCTCTCCCCAGTACTCCCCAAGCATGACAATGAGTGTGTGACGCGTCCCGCTCCCGCCTGGACCCAGAAGCCACCCTCCGCGTCCTCTGGAAGAACCTTCCCGTCACCGTGTACAGTGAACAGATCCAGTCGCACCACGCCCAGCCGTTTATCTCCTGCTCTCTCCCCTTTTTTGTGAAGAAAGCGGGTCCAAACGCGATTCGAACAACTGTACGGAGCGGCACGGTAGAATTTCCCGAGACCGAACTGCGAATCACTCTGTGTATGTGTCTGTGTGGGCAGAGGCTGTATGGTATGCGGTGTCGCGCGGATACGCGTGGACAGGGCCGCCACGGGACACTGTACAGTATGACATGCCATCTTACGTAGAAATGAGTAGGGACTTTTATTCCATTCTTTTTTTCACGTTTACATTTTAATTATTAAAAGTTGCTCCTGCCCCCTCCTTGAACTATTTTGTGCTGTGTATATCACTGCTTTATATAAGTTATTTTTTAAGGTGAACTCAGATGTTATGGTTTTGTAAATGTCTGCAATCATGGATAGGAATAAAATCGCTTATTTGAGAGCTTTCATTCAATTGTGTCTGGTGCGAGTTACGCTGTGAACCCGTACGTGTGCTCTCTCAACACGGGAGGAAATGTCTCCGCTCGTGTGGCCGCCGACCGGCTGGCAGTCACCTCAGGGAAAGGTATTTTCGTTTCGTACTTTCTCTCTGAGGAAAGAGCACACTTCACCGAAGCGTCACTAGGGCCGCACACAACACATCCTGCGATAACTGCTTTGGTGGAGTTCTCGATTGTGTGTCTTAGATGGTGTGGAAATCATCAGTTAGCTCCAGTGACCCAGACTACAGCTATAAAGTGACAGCTGTCATATTTTTAACAACGTGTTTTCTCTCTAACACGATAAAGCCCCGAAGTGATACCAAAACCACGGGCTTGAATCTGTGGCTCTTTTCCAGGCCTACTTGAGGTCGATGCTTAATGACTTTTCGCCGTTATGAAACAGTATCTGACTTTGATTCAGGCTTCCCCGGGAACGCAGCTGCAGGAGCAGACACCTCAGAGGATGGCGGCTGTCAGCACAAGTGGACAAGAGTTGGGGACCTCCGAGGGCTGCTAGAACGCTGCTGCCTCTACCCCAGGACTCCGCTAGCAGGAGAGGCCCTGTCCCTTTCGTGTCCCTCCTCCAGCCAGCAAGCACCCACTTGTACCCTAAAGCTGACACCAGTAGTAACTTAGCTGGCTCCAGCCATTGAGTTCAGTGACATTGTGTGACTGACAGTTCAGAAAGTGAAGAGATGCTAAAAAACAAAATAAATAATAAAGTTAAGCCCTCAACAAAGCACCTTGCTCTGTACTTTCCAGATCTCTGGACTGTTAGATGTACAAACACCTACGTGACAGTGGAGGACGCGAGTCCCTAATCGGAAACGCTGAGCGGAACGTGGTGAGCCTCTGTGTTCCAGTCGTGACACAGAACACCAGCTCTGTAGCTAACTCCAGAGACGGCAGAGCTTGCTTCAGCTCACAGGGAGGCATCTCTCTCCTCGGGGCTCCCAGCCTCCTAGGTAGAAATTCAGCAATCTGTTTGCCAGGTTATTCCCACGTGGCGCTTCTCTCTTGAACCCATCTTAACTTGTTCCCCCTTAAAAATAAGGGTTTCACCCAAACATGACAGGGATGCCAGACGGAGCTGTTGAGGGGAACAAAGAATCCGGGTCAAGGTTTATGCTGCAGGTTAAAACTGTGAGGAGGTGGGTCCCAGCTGGGTGCCAGGCGCCAGAGGCCTGTCACAGACACCTCAGACTACAAGGTGCCCCCTCCCGCTGACTGCGGGTGATGCTTTCAGACACCTGACCTGCCGAGACCGGCTGTGACAGCTGTATAAGACAGACGGGGACCTTACACTATGAGACTGTTTAGACGTTTTGTTGACTCTTCTCCATTGTTACTGATCTTGAGTTTCTGTCATTTGCCTTCTGAGGAGATGCTGTTTACCATCGCAGAGAGACTTGGACTTGATTTTACTTGCTCTTATTTTGGGGGTAAACCTCAAACATGGATGATATCATGGGTCCCCTTATTTCTAACCTGTTTGGCCAAAAAGGTAAAATTTGTTTGTTTTGAAGATGTAGCGATCAGTTCATCATAAATATTTATTTCTTTTTTCAATCTTGGACCCTGGATTTAAAACAATTATTTCAGATTTTTTAAATTCTCCTGAAATAGTTGGAAATTTAATTTTGAGGAGAAAATTATATTCAAGAAAACTAAAATATAAAATGCTTACTTCTTATATCCAAGTAATTTTCTCATGTACTGAGTATCTGTGCATTAATTTTTGTTTAGGTTTTGGGTCATTTAACCACATTACCTATTCTTCTGATAAGAACATTTAACACATTTCTCTTATGTTTTCCACCTCTATTAATGTATTTGCGTTGGTCTCAGTATGTAATGCCTTGTCCTAGGATTATTTTTATGCATCTCGCCCACAGGGATGATATCAGCAATTTTTGCTTACACTGAACTTGAAATACACAGGTAAAACGTAGGTGAAAACATGAGTTCTTTTCACCCTGCTCACTGCAGCTGAAATGCCCGTCCTCCTTCCCAAGCTGTGCTGTCTCTTAAGCAGCCACGGGGCTGTCCCTGGGCACGCGGCGGAGGGCGCCTCTGACCTGGGGGTGCCACAGACTGGGGGCACCAGTAGTCCCTGTAAGAATGGGGCAGCTTGGACTGCATTGCTGAGGAATAGGAATTTTGCAATCGGGCGTCTGCGGTTACGATTTCTCTATCGCCGAAAGACTTGGAAATCCATTCTGTTCTCCCGGCCACGGAAAGTGCCCCGCACATCCCTTTTCCTCCAGGAATAAAATGGGGAAAACTTCTTCCACTCCTGTTTTCATGATTCTCTAAGATACCTGATCTCCGTCGCACTTCTTAGGGTCCTTTGGGTGACATGCTTGCTGGAGTTTAAAAGGCAGCAGGTGGAAACCACAAAGCTCCTCTGGGCACGCGGAAGCCCCCCTGGGGCCCTCTTCGCCCTCCCTCGGCATTCGGAGCGGTTCCCTCGCCAGGGGGCGCTGCTGCGCCCTTGGTAGGACTCTACAGGCCTGCTGTGCTCCTTCCGGCCTCCTCCACGGTCCCGCCCCGCCTCTCCCTCCTCCAGCCGAAATGAGGTAGACTGCACCCTCTCACCTTCCCAGCCCCAGACGCTTCTCATCTCCCTGTAGTGCACAGTAATCATAGCAGTCTTCCCAGGGGAAATCATTACAGTTTGCGCTCTGTGATTATCACCGCCAGTTCTGAGCAGTACCACAAATCATGGCTACTTGACTTTGGCATGCATGATAGGATTGACACTGGGTTTTCCTCTTATTATGTACTATAATTCTTTTCCCCATTTGATACAAATAGGCCATAAATAGGTAATGTAAGAAGGTGAAGTCCAATATGGGCGGAGTTGTCATGTATTTTTCAGTATTATGAATCATCTCTTATGTATGTTTCTTATTTGCCGTGAGGCACGAGTCTGTGTTTGCTTAGAGCAGTGATACCCAGGTCTTAAGCATTTGTAAGGGTCTCCCTTTGTCTGTGAACTCTGCCCTGAGAAATACGGTGAAAGAGTGGCGAACCCCTGTTAATTACACTTCCGATTGTGTACTAAATGTGTGTGCGCCTGTGGCTTGTGTTGGGGGTGGTAGCCAGAAGTTTGCTCACCAAATGCCCCCATCCATTACGATTCCATTATTCTACAACTCCACTCGCTCATATTAAACCGAACTGCTGCCTTTGGCTGCTCTTCATCTCCATGCGAGAAGAGCGGGTAGGTGAAGCTGGGGTGGAAAGAGGGGCTGGCACCTGCGGGCCTTCTGAGGGTGCAGATCTGGAGACAGGGGCTCAGGCGTCCATTCATTTCATCCTCCGCCCTCACTCCTCTTGCCCGGAGCCGTGCCATAATTCCAGCTTTTTGATGCACACATTTGTTTATAAGAAATTAGTTGCCATTATTCATTTATTTCACCAGAAGCACCGACTTGCCCATGAACCATAGCTCAGATCGAGAAGGATGACCTCCAAATGGAAAATATACCTAGGACCTCCTTCATTACTTTTCTAAACTATATTTTAAAAAGAAACTGTCGAGGGCAGAGGTAAGGGGAAAAAAATGAGAATCAAGACTTGCCATGTAAAGGTACAAGATCCCAACAATGAATGTAACTGTACTGTATCCCTAAATGTACCAATAAACTCAATAAAAAAAAAAAAAGAAACTGTCAGCTGAATAAGTCTCCCAAGCAAGAATCCCCTCTGTTCAGCATCCCCTTAGCTTAGTGTGATCAGTTTTCCTCAATAGAATAACTTCTGTAAGAAGTTTAAACGTGAATATTTTTGCTGTCTACATCTTTAATAATGAAATATAGCACTGTATATAGATGTTATAAATGTTAAACTGGGATTTGGATGGCTGCGGTCTGTCCCTTCCCCCTTGCGCATCCCCCGGTTATTTTCAGGATAGGAGTTAGGCTCGTGGTCATTGCAGTGTTACAGCCTAAACACTTGGCATTTCACTGTTAAGATGAGACCTGCTGTTGACATGACCCAGCTGAGGATGAAGAGCCTCAGAAGAATGACGCGAGAGACTTCTTCCCAGCTTCATCCCTCTTTCACTCACACCCCAGGTGGCTTCAGTCTTCTCAGAACAACACAACTCATTGTCAACCAAGTTGCTGTCACGTCTTGGTAAAATTTTTCGGTTCAGTGGATTTAGCCATCTGTTAATCCAAACAGTCTATCCAGTTTACAGGATTTGACAACAACCCTACTTTTAATTTTGCAGGATCGTAAAACTTCTCTTCATATACATGACTGATTGAACTGTGTGTTTGGCTTCCTGTTGGGCTGTATTTCAAAATGCTTTACTTTATTTCCATTAAAACAAAGCATACAAACAATATGTTGGACGAAAAACTCAAAGAACATGCCGCTGTTTCAAACATAAAAACTGCAGAAGCCTTTCTAAATAGAATTCTATCCTCACGATAGCCATCTGCTTATTGAACTGTTTATCTGTGATTTTAAGATGTTAAGATGTTTTCTTATTATATGTGTTAAATTGTTACCGATAATGTCTTCCTGAAAAAGTTATTTGTAAGATTTTTATGAATGCGCAGCTTATGTATAAATATAATGGAATCTGGGGTGACTCAGTAATTATTAATTCAGTAGTGCCCCCAGCTATCTGACACGCTTTGTGAATCTGCCCTCTGTGTGTGCGTGTGTGTGTGCTCACATGCACAGTATTGCATTTATCCTCAAATGGACTCATCACTTGATGTTTTTGTAAAAGTACCTGAGCTATTCATGTAATGGGAAAGTTGCCATAAAGATGTACACATACCCCTTAGTTTGGCATGTGTCTTCACATTGTATTTATGAAAATACAGCTTTTAATTTGTAGTTTGTACCCCTTCATTTCTAGCCTCTCTTTTAATACTTATTGGAAAAGTAAAGGAAATGATTTGTATGAAGCCAGCATCAATGTTTTCTAAATAACAAGTCAAAATACAGCTAATGTGGATGTATATCTGTGCAGAGAGAATTAGACATTATGCCTTATATAAAACCCAGGATTTCATAATATCAGTATTTTATATGCATTCAAGAAAAGGTCATGATAACTGACTGGCTCTGGGTGGTTAGATATACTTTGAAAGTAAAAAATAAATAATATTGGGCTGGGGATTTGACTCAATGGTTTTGCCACTTACCTCGCAAATGCAAGGGCCCAAGTTAAAAAATATCCAGTACAAAAAAAAAAAAAAATAATAATAATAATAATAATAATAATAATAATATTAGCAAATAGATATGTTAATAGGTAAAGTTTTAGTATTTTATTCAAAGTAGAACTACACATAATATAGAAATCTGAAGTAATTATGTAGATTATTCCTGCAATACTATATTTTCCTCAATTTCTTTCATCTTTCTGGTGAAATGTTCAGATGTTTGCCTCGGTTTACCATGAACACTTGCCCAGTTCTGAAGTAGATGCTATATACTGTTATACAGATGAGTGAGTGTGGGGGATCTATAACTGGAATCAGAGCCGTCCTTAGGTAGCAATGGAAATGCATACATCATTTTTCCAACAAACTGCTGAATATGGCTTCACGTTACTAGTATGGCCTTGGTCCCAGTCGAGTCTCCTGGTTCAGTGCTGTGGCACATTTGTACACAGCAATCACAAAGGACAGAGCTAAGGTCAGACAGTTCCCCAATTTGTCTGGACCCAGAGGGTGGGCGACGAGGCCACCGGTGCTGCGCCCTTGACTTGGTGGAAGTCATGGAACCAAGCATTTTTCTGAAAGTTGTTTCAACCGTTTCCACTTGTGCACAAGGGATGATTCATGGTAGAAGCAGATTCGGGGCAGAAACTGCACAATGAACAAAAACCAGCAGAATCTGTTTAACTCCCTGCAGCTGTCTGTGCTGAACGAGCTAACAAACGAACAATCCAGGCCTGCGTGAAGGGGGCTCATGTCAGCCCCAGCTGCAAGCACGCCCCATAACCAGTGTGTGTCCTCAGGCTTCCTACACCCTGAACAGCAAAGAACCCCTTACGTCAAAGGAGGGACAAAATTAAATACTGCAGGTTTTGTTCCCTATGCAGCTGTGTGATGAGCGTGTGGGGTGGCTGTGTAGAAAACACTACAGCCAGAGATGTTACCACTGTCGTGCTTGGTTCTCTCCCTGACAGCAGAGCTCTGAGTGTCGGGCTGTGCTGGGCAGGGCTGCCTCTCCCCAGATTCCCCTGGACACTGAGGCACAGAGACTCCCCGCACTCCTGCTGGTGAAGGGAATGGAACCTCCTGTCTCTTCAGTGATGTCACAAAGGAAAAGCTTATGTCCCAGTGCGTTCAGTGAAAGAGCAGTAATTCTACCTACTCTGTAAATTAGTACTGATTACGAAGAGGAATTCAGCATTGCTTGTATATTGTGTTAGAGAGAGAAATGGCTTATGAATGGAAAAATCAAAGTACTCTGTATGGAATCTTTTGTATTCCAGTGCTTGCTGTTACCATCAAATTAGCCATCATTCACTGAAGGGACATCAAATGTGTTTTATAGAACATACCTATTGATCATTGAAAGTGATGCCAACTGTAATTCCAGAACTCTGCGTGCTACTACAGCAGATAATCAGCTACTGGCCACATTTCCCCATGTTTGCTGCACATTTATTTGAGAGGTACCCACCTAGGCACATTTTTTTGATCAAATAAAAAATTCAAGACTTGAACTTAAATACACCAAAAAAAAGATAATTCAACTACTACTTTTTTAAAAAAAAATAAGATATATGAATGTATTCAATGAAAATAGAAGCACTAGTAATTGGAAGAGATCTATCTTGTCATAAAAGTCCTGAATTTAATGCCCCAAATCAAACCTAAAACGCTAAGTAAAAGAGTTATTGATAAGAAATTTGCTGAACCAAATAAGCAACTAAATGGAAACCAACATAGGAACCAAATCAAATGCACACGAAAAGTAGATTGGGAAATCCACAGCCAGGATCCCTAGGGTAGTGAGCACCACAAAAGCAGACCACCGCAGTGTTCTAAGTACTGGTCATCTGTGTTTAAAATTCCATTTGTTTAGCAAAAATACCATTTAAAATAGCACAGTGATTTCAGGTTTTTCTCAAAAATTCTAGTCTTGTTGAAAGATACTTAAGGCAAAAATCCCACATCCAATAAAGCTCAGTGTAGAACGTAGACTATCCAGGTCCCTACCTCTGTAGAGAATATGGGCCATGAGCATTTCCAAAGTGTGGCCCTTAAATCATTCAGGGGGTGCGGTGAAGTGGGGTGGAGGAAAGGTGGCCACTGTGGGGTGACCTTCACTTCCTGGTTATTTGGAGCCGCGTGTGGCCAGTGTTCACTGCTGTATTTTCATGCGCTAGACAGGTTTGCGTAATGTTTCTGTGCTGTGCCGTGCACCTGCAAACATGAATAGCAAATGTTTTCCCTTCCAGTCACTAGAAGTACTTTGCTGTTTCGCTGTGAGTGTGCTCTTTAGAACATATGAAATGCAAATTGCAAAAGTGTGTGTTCCGTCAGACTTTCACGTGCATTGGAAATTTGTTTAAAATAAATAAAAATCTTTCTGGTTTATTTGGCAGTGTTGAGTCTTGTCAAGTGTACTATGACCTGAGCTCCTGCGCGAGGCCAGAACAATTGATATTCTGTTTGCCTTATGTGAATTAAATCCAGGAAGTGAATAAGCTTATCTAACTGAAGAGGAGTTTTGAAGTAGACACGCGATTAAATTAGAACACTCCCACGTGAGAGGCAGAAGTAGATTTTCCTAATGGGTGGAAAATCAGTGTGTACTAAGATTAATGTTTAATCACTAAACAGCCACACAGACTTCTAGTTCAGAAGTTAAATGCATACTGGTGAGTCTTAGCCTATTTTAGGGGATTCCTTCTTCCTGAAGATAAAGTGTGTACCACAGTTATTATATTGTAGATTCCTTCACAGGAATTCTGCTTGCCAGAAATATGCTACATGATTTGATACTTTTTTCAGATACAAATGGCAACTGCAGATGCCTGTCTGTAAGAAAAACCTATTCACAGAGATAAAGTTGGGAAAGTAGGGAGTTCATCAAAGAGAATTGCAAAAAGTAACAAAGGAAGTTTAGCTTTGGAGAGAGAGTATATATGTGCAGTGATTACTAATGTAGTTCAGCTTTCAAAGTCTGTAGAGTAAATTCTTTCTTCTTTCACAAATGAATGTTAACATTTTCCTATTTGGTTAAAGGATGATTAACTTAAATATTCACAGTATGCCAAGAGTTTAGTTACTTGGCCACAGATTTTCATTCTCAGTAGTTGTGTATATTACAATTTTTTGAGGCTTAACTAATTTCAGACAGATCAATCAGCAATGTGAAGGACTGGTTTCTGAGGATGTTTGTATGAGGAACTGTTCGTATGGCAAAATGGCTGTGTGATTTAGAGCGTAAATATAGCATTATAAAATTAGTTTCCCATTAGAACATCATTACTTTCCTAAGAGTGGTAACCCAGGCACTGAGATGTGAAAAAGGCTCTGTGAAGTCTCCTTTAACCTTAATAGTCCAGAAAGGACGAGACCAGGGAGGAGGCTGTTCTGGAGGACCAGGGTGAGCCACATACCTGCAGGGTCTCCTCCTCTGTCCACCTGTGAGGGCGCTTTAGCTGCTCTTCCACCTGAGCCCAGAATGCCCTTTTCCACAGCAACAAATCCAACAGCCCCTAGCACATCAAAGCCTCTGATTTTTTCCTTGTTTGTTTTGAGACAGAGTCTCACTATTCAGTTCAGGCTGGCATTGAACTCACTATGTAGCCCAGGCTGGCCTCAAACTTACAGTGATCCTCCTGCCTCAGCCTCCCAAGTGCTGGGGTGACAGGTGTGCCACCACACCAGGCTTTCCTTTCCCTTCCCTTCCTTCCTTCCTCCCTCCCTCCGTCCCTCCCTCCCTTCCTTCCTTTCTTTCTTTTTCTGTGCTGGGGACAGAACCCAGGCACAAGCCAGGCAAATGGTATGCCATGAGCTATATTCCAGCACCTCAAAGCTACTTCAAAGAGACTGAGAGAATGTGGGGTATTTGGTGAAAATACAGCAATGAGAACATGACACAGGAAAGGCTCGCAGTGAGCAGTGAAGAAATCAGTTACGCAGCATGCATTATCTTGACCTCTGAAGACCAGTAAGAACCGTATGTGCTTGAGGAGTGCAAATTCTCTGTCCCTCCCGCTCCGTGTCCCTTCTTCCCCTCTCTCTTCTCTCTCCTCTCAGAGTCCCGTAGTCTCTAGGGCTTAGGCTCACAGGTGAAGTATTGCGTAGGATCATCAAGGTGTTCCTGGCTTCACGAAGAGCTGTGAGCTTGCAAGGATCCATGTGCTTCTTGAAATATCTCCTTTATTCTCAGGGAGGAATTCAGGCACTGGCAGGCACAGAGTCTGATCTCTTTTTGGAAGATTATGAAGACCAATTTAAAAAAAAACCAACCCCAGTGAAAAGATAGTTAACTGCAAGGCAAGCGATACCTTAAATGCCGCGGCCAGCATTAGTGGCTTCTCCCAGTCACGGTCATCTTCCCTGTGTAGATTATTACATCTGATCAAAAGAATTTCGCCTCTGGACTGGACAGTCTTTCAAGATGTTGGCCTTAGGGTGAGCCATCATCCCAGTCTGCCCCAGGACCACTTTGTGCTCAAGCCCACACACAGCTGCCCTTCCCCGTCTGTCCCCACAGCACCCTTCCGTATCCCCGGACTCCCGAAGTAACAGTGTTGGTAAACACTCAGTGCTCGACAGGCAGCAGGAGGCCTCTCCAGTGGGTGCTGCGCACCTCAGCAGTGTTGGCAAACCTATGACACACGGAGCCCTTCCGTCAGCGCGCAGCCCAAACCGAGCATCAGACAGCAGCACGCGCAGGGCCGCGCACATGCTCAGAAAGCAGCGGCGGCGCCAGGTGATGATGTCATGAGCTGAGACTCATTGGCCATAACTTGCCGGAGATTTCACGTGGTGGGACCTGTGCTGCCAGGGACGTACATATACTTGCTTGGACTGGCTGTGAGTTGTAATACATTCATTTCTGTTAACGCAAGATTTTAGCCTTGAGTTTTCTTATGAAAAATTGAAATTTAATATCTAAGATTTAGCAAAGAGATGTTTTAATCTAGAGACTGAGGTTCTTTAATGTTGTGCTGTTCCCCCCGGCATATTTGAATCTGCAGCACTATATTTAATTGTTTGTGAAGAATTTATGAAAACAAGAGAGAGGATTTTTTTTTTTTCTTGGACTGGCTGTGATTTTATCAGAAGCCCCGGTAAGGTAGGAAATACAGTCGATGCCTTTCACAGAGCAGGCCAAAGGCTGCTGGTCAGTGAACATTGCCCCCTTGTGCTGGTGGCCAGCAAATTCAAGAGGAACCTCAGCTGAGAACCACTCTTGTAGACTGTTGATTCAGGGAATATTCAGTTCGTTAGTTTTAACTAGCGGTGTTAGCTATTTTGGTATGGGGTGGATTTGCATTGGGTGCTTCATATTTTTTATTTTGTATTTTTGTAGACTCCCAAGTCTTGAACACCATAAAATGACTACAACACAAAAAGTAAAACTGAAAACAGATAGTGGAAGATCATTCCAAGAAGCCTAGACAGAATCACTTGGAGTGATTATACACAATAAGGAAGCGGTATGTATTCTGTGTGGTAAAAGTGTTGTGTGTCACACATCAAGTGTCAGACAGCACTTTGACACCAACCACACGGTGTTGCAGAACTTGGTGAAACTGAAAGGAAAGAGTTTTCTTGAGGGGAAATTAAGGAAATGTCACTCCCAGTAGCTTAGTTTTTGTGACTATCTTTCTAAAGCAAATCATCTGACAGCTGCCAACTTTCAAACTTCACTGCGCATAGCAAAACATGGCAAGCCTCTCTCTGGTTAGGACTTTATAAAAATGGCCATGTTGTCTGGGAGTAATTCCTTTTTCATGATTTCCTAAACATGGATAAAGTTATGCATCGCATCTCTGGGATACCACTTAGCAGAAATACTGTTAACGATCGAGTCCTGTGCATGAAAAGTGATGTTAGTCAGCAGCTCGCCACTGACTTACAGAAGGCAGCTTGGGACTCCATGTGCTTGGATGAAAGCACAGATATAAATAGTCATGCGAGGCTAGCAGTAATTTTTCAGTATGCTGCTGGTGACATCATGAGAGGAGAACTGGTGAAACTGGTATCATTGCCTGGAAGAACATAAGGGATGAACATCTACAGTGCCGGCTCCTCCTTTGTCACAGATAAAAGACCAGAAACAGTGGTTTCAGTTGCTAGTGACAGGGCACCATGCATGGTGAGGACAACATCCGGTTCACACTGTGCTTTATTACAGAAACATCCAGTCATTCAGTTTTATTGTATGATGCATCAAGAAGCTCTTTGTGCCAGAGAAAATGCAAAAACTTAGACTATATCCTCAAAGACATCATAAAAATGAATTACATGATGGCTCATGCTCTTGATTTTCAACAGTGTCAAGCACTTCTTGATGAGGTTCAAGTACAGTATAATGCTTTACTTAGAAATTTAGAAAACTCTACAACATTTGCAGACTGTCCTACAAGCCATCAGGAAACCTACAAGGAATTTTCTAGCATGGTGGCAGCTTCAAAGGAAGATTTTAGTTAACAGATTTTTACAGTTCCTTAAGATGGAGACAACCCTGTGTTTTCTTACTTCTCCAGATAAAGCCAAATTTGAAGACCTTGATATTTTCTGCTTCTACTGGTTAGATTTTGGAAATCTGGAAATGGAGCTATTGGAATTTCAAGAAAGCGCTATCTGGAAAATTAAACACTCTGACCTGCACGTAACACTTGAGAAGATGGAGTATAAAGGAAGGATGAAGACAGCACAGAGGGTAGTTCTGAAAGTGAAATCCTGGACATGTGAATTCTCTGCCAAATAATTTTGGGTCAATGAAAGCACTTGGGATTGATTTTCTTACTTTGTTTGGATCATCTCATGCTTATGAGCAGCTGTTTCCTTAGTATCAAATCTGATCTCAGCATCAGGCTAACACGTGACGTGATTCCTGCATGTGTTGCATTCAAACTCTAACAAAGTGTGAGCCAAGGTTTGAGTTATCAGTGTGTCCACGACCGCAAAGATCATGTCATTGTGCAAAAGCACACCTAATGCAAACTGTTACTTTCCAGTAAAAAGCTGTATCATTCAAAGCTCTGTCATTATGTTTTTCTGTTAAGATTAATGTATGAGTTGTTTTTTCTAAATGAAAACCTCAGTATTCAGATTAAATTGCAGTGTTGGCCCCTGCCTTAAGTGGGTTTGGAGTGCACTTTGAGCACTCAGTCTCTAAAAGGTTTGCCCTCACTGCCTTAGCAGTTCCTGGGAAGGAGGAACCTCTGCTCTGTGCCAGTCCTCTGGTCTCTCATGGTTCCTAGAGACAACCATGAAGCCGCTCTTGGAAGGTTTCCTCCTACCTTCTAATCCCTGATCAGCATATTATCAGACGTTTTATAGTTTGTGCTATGAGCTTTTGAAAAATTTGTTTTGTCTATCTGGGCCTTAGCAGTTTTTAAGGGAAGAAACAGCAGAGTGTTCAGTCAAATAGAAAATGATAATTCCACAAGGAGCTGTGTATGTGCCTTTTATGAAATATAACTAATTTCTACTGATGTTAGTCAGGCAACCTGTGATCTTCATAGAGCCTGTGTTTGCTCGGTATTTTACATACTGCACAGCATGTTATCACGTTGAAAAATGTCTAGTAATACTTGACATATTATGTACTGCAACTATGGGCTAATAAATTTTTTTATTGGTAACTTCAGGGGCTGCACAAACACGCTTATTCCACTCCACCTTCACCGGGTTTTTCTAATTAATGATGTACTTTGTTTTTGTGAAGCAGCATCTTGCTAAATCACTAAGTTGCCGAGGCTGGGCCAGCTATTGATCCTCCTGCCTCAGCCTCCCAGAGTGCTGGATGACAGGCGTGTGCCGCCACACAGGCCACACTATTTTTGTAGCATTTTCATATATGTTGTCTTTTGACCAAAAAAACTATAAAGGTGAAGTCCGCATCTGGTTACTCAGCAGCGTTTATCCAACACTCCAGACAGAGGAGGCAGTGGCTACCATGCCCTGAATGAATGAATGAGGCTTGGTTTGGAAGCAGCTGCGTGGGCTTTGGGAGCACTCCTGCCTCTCCTTTCTTCCTTCTGAGCCCTACAGCACTTTCGCGACTCCCTCGCCAGCTGAGACCAGAGCGAGGCTCTCTGCCTCTACTGCCTCCTGGCTGTGTGGTCTCGATGCAGTTGCCTCACCTATGAAGTGGGAATTTGACAGTTCTTCAGCCTCCTAGAGATACGTGGCCTGTTGTGAGTGTTGACGACCTGGGCTTCAGTTCCCATCTCTGTGAGGAGACTGTGACTTGAGGGTGGTGGTGAGAACTCAGTAAGCGTGATAAACCATGTGTTCCATGATTGCACGGAACAATAACTCCTAGGGTCGACTGCTCTTAGGAGCTGGGGTCTGGTCACAGGGTGCGGCCCTCCCGGCTCCTCCCTTGTCTCTGCTGCCTGTCCGGCGTGCCCTGAGCAGAATGTGACTTGAGGGTGGTGGTGAGAACTCAGTAAGCATGATAAACCATGTGTTCCATGATTGCACGGAACAATAACTCCTAGGGTCGACTGTGCTATGGTTTCTTGTGCTTGGAAGGTGACTGGGCTGTGGCCGACTGCTCTTAGGAGCTGGGGTCTGGCCACAGGGTGCGGCCCTCCCGGCTCCTCCCTTGTCTCTGCTGCCTGTCCGGCGTGCCCTGAGCAGCTTTCCCTCCTCCACGCCCCTCCATCGCACTGTTCCTTCTTTGGAGCCACCCCGCCTGGATTGAAATGGGAGCCAAAACAAACCTGTCGTCCTGTAAGTGGTGGGCGTCGGGAGTTGTGTCCCAGCAATGAGGAGAGAGACCAAGACGCCACAGCACTGCTGTGGAAGTGGGGGAGGCCCCTACCTACGAGAAGAAAGGCCTGCTGTGGCGCACATCAACAGAGTGGTCCAGCCAAGGGCTGCCCAGCTCGCAGCCTTCAGAAGCGCACGGGGGCTGCCTCCGCACCACCCTCTCCCGCTGATCTCGGAAGGCTGCTGTTTGTGGGATCCCAGGGAAGGATGGAAAGGGAAATTGCATTCTTCCTGAGCAGCAGTTCGCAGGAGCCAGGGGGAAGTCCTGTGGAACCCAGCCTGCGGTCCCTCCCCAGCGCTTCTGCCTCAGGGCGGCTCAGGAAAGAGCCTCGAGGGCCAGCCTAGGAAGCAACAAGACACCTGGGCAGAGGCTGGAGAGTCCTGGGAACCTGAAGCACAGGCAGGGCCAGCTCTGGGCCAGAGGGGCCAGGTGGCAGAAGGGCATCAGGCCAAGGGTGAGCCCCGCTTTTCCTGGTGCAAATCTCTCAAGATGAACTGGACCACTCCTCTAAAGCCAGATGCAATCACAGTGGACCCCATAGAACTAGATAACTCAAGTAGTCTGGTTACTGTTTTAAAAATGAGTCTGGTGTGGTGGCACACAACTGTTATCTCAGCACTCTAGGAAGCTGAGGCCGGAGGATCTCAAGTTTGAGCCCAATCTGGACATTTTCCTTAGTGACTTAGTGAGACCCTGTCTCAAAATAAAAACTCAAAAGGGCTGGAGATATAGATCAGTGCAAAGGCCCTAGGTTCAGTCCTCAGCACTTGGATAAAAAGCAAATCCATAATTTAAATATTTCAAAGGAGAAATCTCTGGGGTTCTAGTGGCTTTGCTGCAGAAATCTACTAAATGTTTAAAGAACACCAAATCTACACAGTCTCTTCTAGAAGTAGAGGAGAACACATCTTGATTGACTTGATGAGCCTGATTCAAAACCAGCCCGAGACAGTGCTAAAACAGAGCAAAGAAAAGAAGATCTTAGAAAGAGGAATAAGAATTAGCACGTGATCTGTGTGTGCCACCTCCCCATGGTGAAGGAATCAGGCACAGTAGGTATGGGCTGCTAACGACAGCAGGCCAGTGTTCCTCCCAAACGTGGACGTGGAGACCCTTCATAAACCAGTAGGAAAGAGCAGTCAGCACAGTCGATGACCACAGAGCAGTCCATGCATGCAGCACCGTGCTGTACAGCAGGGGCGGTCAGGGGACTGCCCAGGCCACGGGCAGGAAGACATGGGCAGTGCCGCTCTGGAGCCCCAGGAACACGGGGCTCCGCGCACCTGGCTTTTCATCAAACAAAATGAAGCTCTGCCCCGCACACAATTTAGGAGGGTGGCTGCAACCACAAACAGGAGAAAGGTCAGTGTGCGTGGGTTCGCCACAGTGAATGCTGCCCAACTCCCAGCCAGAGAAAGGGCGGCCCCGCGGCTCCCTACACCTGGCCCCACACGCTTAGGCTGTCGCAGCAGAAGTCCTGGGGACAGGAGCTTCCTGGGAGTGGTCCTTAATCCATCAGAATGGAGATGCAGGAGGAGAACCCGGCTTGCCCTCCCTCTGCAGGCACAGCCATGCTGCTCCTTGCTAACTTCAGTGTACCTGGGGATCCCCTGGAACATCTCAGGAACATCTGACTGACCCAGGAGGCCCAGGCGACACCACCGGGGTCTGAGCACCTCACATAGATGACATCACTGACACCTCCTGAAGCTTCCTCCCAAGCAAACAGTGTGCTCCCCAGTTCTGCTCAGTCTGCTTCTGGGGGCTCTCTCTCCTGTCCCTTCCTCTCCCTTTCCCTCTCTCTCCTATCCGGTGCTCCTTGCTGCTGGTTTTCACAAAGCCCAGCTGTCCTGTCCCCAGCATCTTGGGCCAGCCTTCAGCCTCCCTCCCACTCTCCCACACTCCGATCTGGAAACTTGTTTCGTGGACTAGGGGACTTTCTGCACACTTCTCGATAAGTCCTGCTCTCATGCGTGACCTTTTAAAACCAGGCTGGCTACATGTTCTGCTCATCTTCAAAAGATGTCTGTGAGCGCAAATGGAGTACAGAGGGCTTTTCTTCAAGCATAATAGAAGAAATCCCTGACATGAGAGAGAAATGGAGATAGCCAATGTTCACGTGTGCACATGACATTTGCATTGTGAAAGGGAAAGAAAGCCCATTCAGAAAGACACAGAAGCTATTAAAATGAAAATCAGTGTGGAACCAACAAAAGGGATGAATCTGTGCTCAAGAGACGTGGAAACAGGAGATAATATAAGACGCAAGCTTGAGCTTACAGACCGTGTCTGTTTTGGATCACACATTCTAGACACACACTGTCATTTTCAGTGACCTCTTAAACCATCTTCTCACACCTACACTTAAACATTTTTCAAACTTTAGAAGTTCCCAAGAAACCAAATCTAAGAGAATGCATGAAATTCAATATTACCACTTTATTTACTACTTTCCACTCAAAATAATACAGCTCAATCTAAACACAGACTTTATTTTCCATAAACTCACTCGTGTAACTGCCAGTCACTGCTGTGTAACAAACAGTCCCACACACCACAGTGACAAATAATGAAACATGGTTAATTCTCATTCACAATCCACATGTCTTTTGGGTACCTCTGAATCTGGCCAAGACAGCTCTGTGCTGTGTCAGAGGCTGCTACTTGATCACAGTCTTCCCAGGAAGAACTGAGATGTTCCAGAGGACAGAAACCTGGGCTCCCTCTCAGGCCGGTGAGGCTGGTAGTGGGTACCTTGCTTTCTCCCCACCACCCATTCCAAGTGGTCTCCTAGCCAAGCCTGACACCAATAAATGCCTCTCACAGAGCTATCAGTCCATGAGTGGACAATAATCTCCTTTCCTAACTCTCACACTGCAATGCTCTGGTTAATACAGAAGGTGCTTTTATAAGGCATTAAGAATCCAACAGGCATTTCTCAAAGAGGCTTGCAAACCTGACACAAATGCCATCACATGACCTCTGAAATACATCAGTGTATGGCCACAGAAGGGCGTCACCTGTGACGGCGTGCATGTTTTAATTTGCTTGTGTTACAAAGCCATTGTATGCTCTCTGTAAAAGTCAGACTCCTCCTCGCCTAACGGTGCATCCTATTTGTACTGGAGGGTAGCTGGGCTGGAAACCTAGCACAAAGAATGCCGAAAGCTTTTCAGTCAATGTTTTCCTACTCCCTCTCCTTCATGAAAGAAAACAGTCTTCAAAACGGGAAGCAAAGCTACCAGAACCTCCGTCCTCACCTCTGTGCAGTGCAGGCTGTGTGCCCGAGGTGGGTGACAAAGCAGCCCCGTGCCACCTGCCTCTCTTGTGATGCCCTCTGCAGTCAGGACCCCAGGTGCTGTGCCTGCCGCGTGCCAGGCCTGCTGCCCGGTCCCCAGCATCCACCTCTGTCATCAGGGGGCCCCAGCAGCCTGCCCAACAGCCAGACACCGCAAAATCTGGCAGGCGCAAAGAGAAGCGCTTTCTAGAGTCGGGACTGCAGCCACAGGTAACCCCTCCTGCAGTAGGAAGACTTTTCCAGGCCTCCCTCCCCGCTCCCATTAGGAAGAGATTCTCGGGACTGGGTGCTCCCCAGCGAGGTGGCAGCACTGCTCCATCCCCCTGAGGTCCCCAGCGCTGCCCTGGCGCCCAGCACAGCTTCACCGGAAGGCGCTTTCTCCCGGGGTCCGGGACCGGGGTACCGTCTGCAGCTCAAAGCGATTTCACAACCCATGATCTTTGAGCCTTGGCCTCACGCTAAAGCAGAGGTGGATTTTGAACTGGAGCCTGGGCAGTTAGCACCTGGTGACAGTGCACTGCCTGGAAAACAAAACAAGCAAACAACAAACAAGGATTTTAAAAGTCAAGCACATTCACAGGCGTTCAGCCCGCCCACTCACGCTTTCCCTTGGGCGTCTGCAGCGGTGACACCGCCCTGAGTCCCGCACTGTCCCCTGCCCCTGCCCAGCCAGCCAGAGACACCGAGGACACGTGAGCTCCTGCCCCAGGCTGGAGGGCAGCACCCAGGAGTCCCGCGTCAGCTGTCTGGCATCCACGGTCCGCTGTCCCTGCATCTGTCCCCTCAGGCCATGGAGCCCAGCGAGGTGCACATGACCCAGGCCATCCAGCCCGCGCACGCGGACGTCCGCGGAGAGCTCAGCGCGGGACAGCTGCTCAAGTGGGTGGACGTCACGGCCTGCCTGGCAGGTAGGACGGGGACCCAGGACAGGCGTGGGGGACTAGGGACTGGAGTGGGGGTGGGGACAGGCATGGGGGCCAGGGGGGACAGATGTGGAGACCGGAGGACAGGTGTCTGGGGTGCAGGATGGAGCTGCACTGCATGGGATGGACAGCGGTCTAGCACAAGGTGACAGGAAACCATGAAGGCTCTGCCTCTTTGTGAAGACTTATGTGTTTAGGAATTTGCACCCAGTCAATAAAGGATGTGGATGTCAATGAAAAAGGACACAGGAGCTTCCAGGGCTCTGCACTTATTTCTCAGAACTAAGGCTCCTAAGACCAAACCCTCCCAG